GTGTGGGGTGTGTGTGGGGTGTGTGTGTGGGGTGTGTGTGGAGTGTGTGTGGGGTGTGTGTGGGGTGTGTGTGGAGTGTGTGTGTGGGGGGTGTGTGTGGGGTGTGTGAATGAATGAGAGTGTAACGTGAGCCTCTACGCAGTGTCACCCAGCCTTGATCCCACTGGGCCAGCCCCTCCCTCCCTAGGGCCTGTCACCCTGCTCACATCCCAGAGCAGAACTGGCTCATCCAGGTGGCCGCATGCTGGCCCCCGTTTGGTGTGTTAGGGAATCCCAGGCTAGGCTGGAACTCTGCGATCCCCTTGCCTCAGCAGCCTACCAGGTGCTGGGCTATCAGGCCTGGGTCACCACGCCCAGGTCCCCATCTTGCTGGCAACACTAAACGGAGAACCTTGGCGTGTCCCAGGTCCAGGCTGGGGAGCCAAAGCCCTTGGAGGTGTGCCAGCTCCTCCCCCGTTCCCTGGAGCAGGCGCCCCACTGCCAACCCCCGCCCCCGGAAACACACAGAAACCCACTTCTCTCTCTCTGCATTATAATTTATTTATTTCACATAAAAATCCACCCCACCCGACCCCCGGCTTGCCAGGCCTCGCGCCATTGTGGCCACTGTCCCCACTGTGTCCGTGATTAGAATCACGCAGCTTGCTGGCAGGCGGTGGGCACTTCCGCTTTGGGGCAGCTTCTCAGGTGGATCTAGGGCCTGTCAGTATACGGCTGCCGCGCCTGTGTCTTGCCTCAGTACCCCTCAGGAACCAGCCCCACGTGTGGACTGGGGTTTCTCTCCTGTGGCCCTGGTTCTGGATTCTGCTTGTCTGTGGGTGCTGGTGATCTCGAAGGGGCGGCGGGCGTGCCGGGGCGGCGGGGATGGAGGTGGCAGGGGAGCCCTACCGGAGTTTCCCTGGGCTGGGGCCGGACCGCAGCCCCTTGGGGCCCGCAGGATTGTGACTGCTGCCAACGTTCCTCACATCACAGGCCTTGGCTCTCGGCAGCCACCTGGGCAGGAAAAGCCTCAGGGATCTGGGGACCATCCTGGTTCACCTCTTCCAGCTCCAGTGGGTTAAAAACAACCCCCAAGCCAGGTGTGCTGGTGGCGGACGGATCTCTGGAGTTTGAGGCCAGCCTGGTCTACAAATCGAGTCCAGGACAGCCACGGCTACACAGAGAAGCCCGGTCTCGAAACACCACCTCCCCTCAAAAAACATACAAACCCTAGTCAGGTTGGGGGCCCCATACCCGCCTCCCCAGCTCTCTGGGTGATCTTCATCGCAAGATCCCGTTTCAAAACCAAGCACTATCACACTCAAGCCTCTCAGGCCCCCTCCCAGGGCCACGGATTGGGGTCCCCCGTTGTGGTGTTCCCCTAGCAGAGCTCAGATCCCCGGGTGCTGTTGACAGGGCACCTGACTCTCTCCAGGCGGAGGCTGCTGTCCCTGGGCCATCAGAGGCTCCGAAGCAAGGAGCCTGTCAGAGAAGCCGGATGCCTGGTGTGGCGGTGGCCCAGCCCTGGAGAGACCCAAGGTCACGCGTGCTCATGCTTCTTTCTCTCTTTCCCTTGACAGGGTCTCACTCTGTAACCCTTGCAATCCTGGAACTCACAGAGAGCCACCTGCCTCTGTCTGCTGAGGGCTGGGATTAAAGGCCTGAGCTGCCCCCACCCGCCACAGGGGACCCCTCCTGCCTTAGGTGCCCGAGACAGGAGGCTCGCTCTGGCTGTCTAGGCCCCGTTAGCCCAGACTGTCAGGTCATCTAAGGCAAATGTGTTCTCCGATCCTGGCTTGGAGGTCAGGTGGCTGAAGCCCCACTGGGGACTCCCCAGATCCTCCGGCACCCGCAGCCCCGCATGTCCAGGCATGTCCAGTCCTCTTCCTTCTCTTGTTCCGATACACTGAGCTGGAGTCTGTCTCTCGCTTGGTGACTTGGAGCCCGAGCCTGTGCTGGGCAGGGGACGGGAAGGTGGACACTCCTTCCCTTGGAATGCGGTGTGAGTTAAAATCTCCTGGAGTCACATTCGCCCTAAGAAGGCTGGAAATGTTCTGGGTTGTGTGGGGGGTTGAGGACCACCAGGCTGATCAATGCATGTACAATGCATGTACAGGCTCGAAGGTCCCGAAGACAGTCAAATGGCAGAGTAGGGGATGTCAGGCCAGCAGTCACAGCCCTGCTTGCAGTGACAGGGAGAGGGTCACATTCCACACAGAAGCAGCTGCAGCCAGGGCCATCAGGCGTCCTAGGCTCCAGCAAGGGACAGGTGGCAGGAGAGCAAAGGGTCTCCCATTGGTCAGCCCAAAATGCGCATTCCTGTTATCCCAGCTGGGACAGTGGGGGACCTCCTGGGGCTATGGAGGCCTGGAGGCCGAGCCATGGGCGCCACTGCCCAAGTCCAGCATTGATGTCCACAAGCTTAGAGCATGGAAGGGTAGAGAGGCCAAGAGCTGGTCCTTTGCAGAACGTGCTCACACTGCCTCCGTGACAATACAACAATGAAATGTTCTCAAGCAGTGAAAGATGCCGGGCGGAGGGGGGTGATGGAGCCAGGTGCCTGGGACAATGGTCGCACGATGAGGCAGGGTGAAGTCCGAGGTCCGTGGGCATCTGATGAGGGTTACATGGTGTCTGGAGTCATCTCTGTCCATCTCTAGTTCTGGGTAAATCAGGACATGCTGGAGGGCAGAGGAAAACTAGGGATCAGTGTGTGAGGTGGGAATTAAGCTCCCACAGGAAGACTCAGAGTGAGCTACCTGAGCAGAAAGCTCTGAGCAGACAGTACTGACTGCTGCCAACTTTCCTAATGCACCCAACCACCCACCCACCTATCCATCCACCATCCACCCACCCACCTATCCATCCACCCATCCATCTACCCATCCATTCAACTACCCTTCCACCCACCCATCCATCCACCCATCTACCCATCCATCTACCCATCCATCCAACCACCCTTCCACCCACCCATCCACCCATCTACCCATCCATCTACCCATCCATCCAACCACCCTTCCACCCACCCATCCATCCACCCACCCATCCATCAATCCACCCATCCATCCATCCACCCATTCATTCATCCACCCATCCATCTCCATCCATCCATCCATACACCTATCCATCCACCTACCCATCCATCCATCCATCCACCCATCCACCCATCCATCTACCCATCCATCCATCCATCCATCCATCCGTCCACCCATCTACCCATCCATCCATCTATCCACCTACCCATCTATCCACCCATCCATCCATCCACCCATTCACCCATCCCTCCATCCACCCATCCATCCATCCACCCATCCATCCATCCACCCATCCACCCATCTACCCATCCACCCACCCATCTACCCACCCACCCACCCATCCATCCATCCACCCACCCACACGTCCACCATCCACCCACCCACCCATCCATCCACTCACCTATCCACCCACCCATCCCCCTATCCATTCTTTGTTTGACTTGCACCTGAGTGTCTGTACACTGGTGTCCTAGCCATGGCTAGGAGCTGGGAGCCAGCTGTGCCTACCCGTCTTGCCATGGACGGGGCAGGGCATACATGCGGTCACCAGATGTGCAGTCATCTGGATCAGAACACTGTAGGGAACCTGCTGACACCTGTGCTGCACCTACCTTGTTTCCTGGTCCTCTGTCACCTCTGCTGCCCTGCGGATGGGGAGGGGACAGGTGTTACTTGCCTGTTTGGGACCCTGAGCAATTCTCATTTCTTTTGGGTGGCTGGCACTGTCCCCAGGAAGGCCACCACCATTGTGTGCTTTTCTGGCAGAAAGCAGAAGTCAATCTGCAACTGCTGCTCAAGGCCCTAGGCCAGATAGACACAAGAGGGGACCGGAGGGACGGGTGCGGCCACCCAGCTGTCATCAGGCCTGGGGAGGCACTGGCCATGCCCTTTCCTCACAGGGGTGGGAGGGTGGGTGGATGTCAGGCTCGCTCACCCGTCCTCTTCCACAGGCTCTGGTTTTTCTTCGGATCTGGGCAGGAGGAACTCTGGCTGTGGCGGCCGTGCGCTGTGGACAAACAGAGCCAGGTGACGAGTGTGCGAGGCAGCCGGGGCTGACCCCGGGGGTCTGGGGTCCCACTGGCCCCTCCAGCCGGGGCTGATGCTGCCCTGGCGTGTTGGGGGGAGAGCCACCAGCAGGATTGCGACCATAAGGCAAGGAGCAGGGATGGGTCGGGCCCCACCCCCCTCTCTGGGCTGACGATCCCATGAAACCCTGACCCCCTGGCCTCGTCATGCCTAGTGCCGCAACGCCAGGCGTGTGCTGCGTGCTTACTCGGGGACACTGGGGAAGGGTTCCACTGGGGCCAGTACTCTACAAGCGAGCTACGGCCGCTGCCCTTCCAGTCCAGGCTTGGAGGGCGTGGGGGCGGGGGCAGATAGACAGAGCCAGGCTCGCTGACCCACACCTCCAATGCCAGCTCTGGGGACACTGGGGACTGGGGCCTGGGTTCTGAGGCCAGACTGGGCTGCTGGTCCTCCGCACTCAGCGAGAGGCCACCCGTGCACGTAGCCACGGTGGCGGGGACCTGCTGGGCTCCGTCCATTGCTGCAGTCCTTCCCCACGAGGTCACAGAGGACCCAGCTCTGACACCATGCCAGCACGGATGACCCGAGGACACTTGTTTGGTCTCAACCGGACGCAGGAGGTCTAGCAAGCAGGATCTACTCTCAGGAGATTCCGAGGGCCACAGAGATGGGGGCGGGGGGCAGGGGTGGAGGGTGCCCCGCTCAGCTGTTTCATCCAGGTGGGGGAGGAGAGCTCCGAGGTGCAGGGCAGTCAGTGGCAGTGCCCTGTGGCTGCTCCGCTGTGCCCAGCTGTGGGCTTAGGGCTGGCCTGAGACCCTGGGCTGGGCTGGCCTTGTTTGTATGAATGTGAATTCTGTGGTCACCTGTGCTCTGTGCTGAGCCCAGCCTAAACGAGGGAGGCAGGGGCCGGCGAGATGGCTCAGCAGGTAAAGGCGCTTGCCAGCAAGTCTGACGACCCAAGTTCAATCCCTGTTTGATCAACAGAGAACTGACTCTCCTCAAATGGCCTCCACATTCATTCTGTGGCCTGCATGCCCACAACCGCAACAGATGAAGAATGTCTAATAAATGACCAAGGTGGGATTTGAACCCAGGGCAGACTCTGGAGTCCTCTCCTGAGAGGCAGGTCTTTGCGTGTAGATGAGAGCGCAGGTGCAGAGGTCCTCGGACCACTTGGGTGTGGGTCATCACTCTTTTCCACCACAGGGGTCCAAGAGGTGGAATTCAGGTCTCCAGGCCTGGAGCAAGCCACCGTACTAGCCAAGCCAACTCACTGGCCCAAGAAAGCTTACATTTTGTTGTTGTTTCGAGACAGGGTTTCTCTGTGTGGCCCTGGCTGTCCTGGACTCGCTTTGCAGACCAGGCTGGCCTGGAACTCACAGAGAGCCGCCTGCCTCTGCCTCCTGAGTGCTGGATCACAGGCCTGCGCCCACCGCCTGGCTCACCACCCGGCTCACCTTACTGTTTTAGGGGCGGGTTCTCCATGAGCACCAAGCCCCCTGGGCGAGCCCGGGATCTCATCTCCATCTCCCCAGTTTTAGGATTACAGACTGGCACAGCTATGCCGGGCACGTGTGTGGGAGCTGGCTGTCTGAACGCAGTCCTCAGGCCTGCCCGCCAGCACTTCCCCGAGCCTCCCCACGTCCGAAGGCGGAGTCGGGCCAGTGGGGATTCCAGAAGAGTCCCCATCAACGGAAGCTGCCAAACCACCCCCAGCTCTCCCCAGCCCCCCTGACCCCCTCAGGAGGCCTGCACACTGACCTTTCCCTCTTGGCCCTGAGTCTCTGTTCTTCATACCTGAGAGAGAGAGGAAAAAAACACATGGAGAGAGTCAGACACGGGACACTTGGGGGCCACCTGGGAGCTGTCAGGGCCACGGTGGGGGTGGGGACGGGACACAGATGGGGACAGAGCCTCAGTGTGGGGCCGGCCCAGGTGTGTGCTGAAACAGGGTTTCAACAGTCAGTTTTCTTCAGTGTGTAAGTCTGCCTGTTTATTTATTTTTGAGATGGAGTTTCTCTCTGTAGACTTGGCTGTCCTAGACTTGCTTTGTAGCCCAGGCTGGCCTGGAACTCGCAGAGATCCGCCTGCCTCTGCCTCCCGAGTGCTGGATCATAGGCTCCTGCCACTGTGATGTGCAATGTGGACATTGTAATTTAATTTCACGAAGTCTTAATTTCACTATGTTAAAGTGGGCCTGTGAGTATGTGCAGTTCCCACAGGGGCCAGAAGGGGGCAGCGACTCCCCAGGACTGAAGTCACAGGCAGCTGTGAGCCACCACATGGGTACTGAGAACCGAACCTGGGTCCTGGGCTGGAGCAGCCAGTGCTCTAACCACCGAGCTGCGCCTCCAGCTCGTGGTGGTTGGGAGGGTGGAGGGGTGGCGCGTCAGTGCATCACCCTGAAGAGTTTAAGATAGCCTGGTATAACTCCATTTTGAAATAAAGATCTTGACTGGGAGCTGAATTCAGGCACCAGGAAATATCACAGAATGTTCACCTGGCAGAGAACAAAGTTAACTCTCCTAGCAACAGCCTCCAAGAAATACCACAGAATAAATGCTTCATAGGAAATAGAGACAATCTCCCTGGCAATAATCAAGGAGAATCGGTTGGGAATCAGGTGGGAGAATTCTCCCCAATGTTTCAGATATAGTTTAGAAAAATAGCCATTGTGATTATATGCCTTGGCCATTGTGATTGTGTGCCTCAGAGAAGGTCACCCCACCCTGCTAAACTTCACCCAATTCTGTAAGGCTTGTGCTCCCCTGCTTGCTGCCATGGAAACCCCCTGATCACAGACTTTCCCTTTAAAAAACCTGCTCACTCAGGGCTCAGGGTCCCACTTCTCTACTGCTGGGTCAGTAAGACTTGGGTCCTGAGTTTGATCTCTCCTGTAATAAAACTCTCTTGCAATTGCATCGAGTCTTCTCCTGGTGGTCTCTGAGGGTGCCCTGAACCTGGTATTACATTTGGGGGCTCGTCCGCCCGGGATGCCTCAGGACCTCTAGGACTCCCGACCGGAGAGCTTAGTCCCGAGGGTAAGTGTTTTGTGTTGTCTGTCTGTCTTAAGTGTTTTGTTATATGGTTTTGGTTAACCTTCAGTGGACTAGGGGGCAGAATACTGCTTGGGGGAGACGTCCAAACGGCCATCTGCCTGAGGGGGCGTCTGAGATGTCGGGCCCTCTCACCAATTAACCCCTCCAGAATTTCTGTGGCAGGAAGCTGGAGTGGGGATCAGTCTTAGACTTTCCGGAACTTCTGTGGCAGAAAAGTCCGGGAAAGCCAGGTTTTTGGTTTTACTTCGTCTCTGTGTGTGATTAATTGGCTCTTGCTTGGTGTTGTGCCAGGAGTTACTGTTTCATTTCTGTGATTGTTTGTGGTTTCACATTTGCAGCTCTTTTTGCTTTCGTGGTTTTAGCTTTGTCCCGGGACAGAGCCTATGTACAGCCTATGTACAGGCTGTGATTTACTGTCTTTGGTCTCGCTTTTGCCTGAGACGGCTGGTTCCTTTTTTCTGTGACTTACTGTTTGTTGAAATTGTTCTATTGTGCTTCCTTGCGTTCTTCTGAATTCTCTCAACGAAAAGCCTGACTGACAATATGGGACAGAATACTTCCAAACCCCTTGACTTCGTTCTGGCTCATTTTGGAGAGGTTAAGACTAGAGCTCATGGTCTTTCAGTTGATGTGAGGAAAGAAAAAACAATGACTTTTTGCAGCTCAGAATGGCCACCTTCAATGTGGGCTGGCCGCCAGAAGGAACTTTCCACCTTCCCCCTGGCCTTGAGGTGGGAGATAGGATTTTTCAGAAGGCATGTGGACACCCAGACCAAGTGTCCCATATTGTAGTTTGGAAGGACCTAGTGATTCATCTACCTCCATAGATTAAGCCCTTTCTGACCCCCACTAACAATCCTCCTTTCACAGGCTCTCCGAAACCAGAGGCCACTGCCTTGAGCCCCCTTACTCTGTTTTGCAGGATGGGACTCCCATGGAAATAATTTTTCCATCCCCTCCTCCTCCCACTCCTCAACCAGCTCCTGCTCCTTTATCCAGATTGGAACCCCACCATCTGGCCCAGTGCCAAGAACTCAGAGCCTCCGGGCAGAGGCAGATTCTACAGTCCTTCCCTTATGGGCCACAGGGCCCTCCAGCTGCTAATGGCAATCAATGGACGATTGCCAACAGCTTTTACAGGTCTTGTTTACCACAGAGGAGCCGGGATGTATTATTTCAGAGGCACGCAAAAATGTCCCAGACGCTACAGTAGCCCCAACCACAGATCAAGCCCGTATTGATGATTACTTTCCCTACAAGAGGCCCAATTGGGACTACACCATGGCTGCAGCTAAAGAGCGTCTCCTAGTCTACTACCGGACTCTGTTGGCAGGTCTCAAGGCGGTTGCAAGACGGCCCACCAATTTGGCCAAGGTATATGATGTCAGACAGGGAACGGATGAGAGTCCAGCTGCCTTCCTGGGAAGAATTAACGAAGCCTTTCGCAGATATACACATGTAGATCAGAAAAGCCTGAACATACAGGTACGGTTGCTTTGGCTTTCATTAACCAGTCCGCTCCAGACATAAGAAAGAAATTACAGAAACAGGAAAGAATAGGGCAAATGACACTGCAAGATTTAGTCCAGGTAGCTGAGAGAGTGTACAGTAACAGGGACAGTTCTGAGAAAAAGCAGTTATGAGACTGCCCAGGTTGTGGCAAGGAAGCTGAAGGTAGGTCAGAATGTAGCTAAGTTTAGTGGGGCAGATTGGAGATTGCACTTTGCATATAGGCCCCAAAGTTCAGGACAGGTAGAGAGGATGAACAGAACATTAAAAGAGAGACTGGCACTGACTGGGTGATGCTCCTCCCCTTTGCCCTTTATAGGGTTAGGAATTCCCCTTACCAGCTAGGGTTTAATTCCCTTTGAGATTATATATGGGATGTCAGCCCCTATAAGACCCAACCTTAAGACTGATGCTACTGCTGAAGTGGATAAAACAGGTTTTGAGACATGTTTAAGGATTCTGTGCAAGCAGACAGCTCTTAAAGGGGCAACAGCAGCTTCTCAGGTAAAAAAAAAAAAGCTGCAAGCCTCTATGGTCATAAAAATTGGATGAAACAGGTAGCAAGATGTTCCTCCCTTGAAATTACAGCTCAAGGGAATAAAAATAAATTTTATAATTTTGTCTGTTTGTTTTAAATATATAAGTTAACTATGTTCTATATATCTTGATGTCTGATTATTGATTATTAAATGTATTAATAAGCAATACTTTACATAGTTTCTGTCCTGTTTTAAAAACCAGGTTTACAAAAATAATAAGATTTAAAACTCTGCTTATATAAAATATTAAAACTGCACCTCCATGTGTTTGTATACAAGAACTTCTCTTGCTGGCAGCCAACATCAAAATAATACACTTGGTATTGATTTTAAAAGTACTGAATTGTTTGCATTAATAAAATTTGGTTTTGACTTTTAAATTATGGTTATACTTTGTGACTTCATTCCTAAAAAGGGTACCTTATTTTGATATTGCAAAACCAGGTTTTAAAAAAATTATGTTTAAGGCTATGTAATATTTTAAAGTTTATCAGGTATTTTAGAAAATGGCCTTGGGTATTCCAATGGGGTACTTGGAACAGTTTCTTAATCCTTTGGGGGAGGACAAAAAGACTTTGATATTTATTTTGTTAATTTTACCAAATGAAACCAAGCTATACTATTTGAGCCAATTATGAAAATTGCAGTTTTTATAATGTATTATGTCAGAATGATAAAATAATAAAAAAAGGTTCTGATGAAAACTTTTATGTGGTCTGAAAATCAAGAAAAATGTATGGTTAAATCAAAAGAATGGAGCTGAGAAAAACCTAACTTTTATGTTATAAAAGACATAAACTGTATTTGCTTTTTTTTTTTATACCTGCAAGCATGATTTGAGAAAGAACTGTAAAATATGTTGCTCTTCATTTAAAAGGCTGATGTTTCTTCAATACAAAATGTTTTTTATGTTCTTTATTGTGGCTCCATGTTAGCCCAGGGTTATATTCAAGTCATTGTTAATTATTATAAAAATATATGCCCGGTTGCCAGTTCCTATGTAAATGATTTAATGCTGTTTCTTTCTGGCTGATAGGTTTGAAATGGCCAGAATTGTCCATCTCTGCTAAGGCTGCCAGCTGTGTTTAGTTCTCTGTTTAGTGCTAAATGAAACTTTTGTCCTTTATGCTTCTTTGCTGTCCAGTCTTAGTGCAGGATGATAGAATGAGCAGGATTTTCTGGTCCTTCTATGTATCGTATTTGATTGAAAGTTTTGCTTTAATTTTAGTTCAGAAAGGTATTTGAAGTTATGCTAATGAATGCAGTTAGTTATAAGAATGGATTTTATCTTGTCTTTTATTTATGTTTTTAAAGTTAAGCCTAGGATGGGTAATTATAAAGTTAGCCTATATAGATCTACTTGAGATAAATACGGGTTTAAAACATTTATTTAAGGAATATGCCAGAATTAGAGATTATGACCTTCTATTTCATAGGATACAATTTAAAATAGATAATTAAAAGAGATAAAGACTAATTCAGATATGCCAGCCCTCAAGCTTGTCAGAGATCTGATGAATATGGCATTTTAACATATATATAAGCTTATTGTGAGAGAGTCCCAAAATCCTGGCAATAGCTCCCCCAGATATCCAACAAGATTTGGGCACAATGTGACTCTGGATTATGGTATGCTAACCACTGGGCAAGACTGCCCCAACTGGGCCACTGCTAGGGCCCAGCCTAAACTGTGGACACCTGGAGAGTCAATGTTTCACATTGCTAAGGGTGAGGTGAGGCCATTTTCTCGTTTCTTTCTCCACAGAAACAGTCTCTCATCTTCTGTGCTTGGTCGCTGGACTACCCTGTTCATGATGCCAGGAGACCACAGGAGCCAGGGACAGCTGCCTAGAGTGATGGACTGACTAGCTGTCACTGTCATTTTGATTGGTACATGGATTGGTACATACTTATCCTTCTCAGGTCTCTGATTACATTGATGGCTAAGCTAATGGTAGCCTAGCAGCTAAAGAGCAGATAGTTAGATCCATTGTTAGTTTATTGGTTAATTTATTACTTAGTTAAAATTACCAGGTACTAGGTTTTCTATTTTAAAAAGGCAAGCAGGTTTGCCCTGCCTACAGGCTTCATGCTAATTACCTATGTCTTATGGTAAATGGCTGGATAGAAAGATAATGGAGTTCATATAGGGTCTGAGGATATAGGAGTTTAGGTTTTGAGAATCTAGAGAATGTTGTTTGGTCTGGGAAAATGTTTCAGGGTTGATAAATGCAAGAAAGATTGGAGGGTATAAATATGTGTTCTAAGGTATATGAATGTGAATTGTAATGATACAGAAAAGTGATTTGAGGCATATTAAAAATGGGAGATAGTTCAGATTTCTCTCCTCTTTCTGCTATTGTTACACTTACGTTGTTATAAGATTTCAGAAGTCCAGAGTTTTGACATTGACCAATAGAGTTCTAATAAGTTGATGAAACACTGATTGCTTGAGATTTTAATTGCCTTTCATCATGCTAAACACATCTATACAATGTGTATATCTGACCCAAAAGCCAGAGCTTTTACTATGATATTTTTAATATCTGCCATTTCTGAGGTAGACTTTGAGATAGGATTTAAAAATATTTTAAATTTATTTCTTCTAGTTGTTTTAGTAAGGAAAGTCCAAGCATTCAGAGTTTAATACTAAAGCCATTAATGTATTTCTGGCAAACTTTCTGATGTGACATGGAGATGAAAACTAAAAGTAAATGCTGAATGTGCAAGAAATGGCGTGATGGCTGATTACCCAACAGCTGTACCCACAGTTAAACTGTTAGAGTTTCAGACCATGGACACACTTAAATTGTTGCTCATTCCGTTGGATGCAGTTTTTCCTCTTATTCACAAAATGTTGTTAAAATATATTATTTTTTCTGAGTATTTTTATGTATTTCCTTTTACAAACTAAACATTTATATGAGTTTCAGGAAACCCAAAAGTCATAAGACCTGGATCTGGCATAGCTCATACGGACCCCAGATGAGTTTTTCCCTGGTCTTGGAATTCCTCATTTTTTTCCATTTATTAGACAAATTTTTAACTTCTGTTTCTAGCTTAAATTTGTCTCAGCATGTTTTCACCCGGTTGAGACTGCAAGCTGAGATCGGAACTTGCTGGAAGCTGACATGATTGCTTACTGCCTCTTCGGAAGGATTACCTAACCAGACGCTTCTGAGGACTGCCCCACTGCCCAGCCTTTGGCTGGCATTTCAGCCTTCCTAGTCCCTGATGCCAACAGTCCTATTGTGAAGACTGAAGCAGTTTCAGAAGATGAGACCACGGCCCAAAATCCCACCTAAGAGGCTGAGATGCTAAGTCAATTAGCTATTATTTTGGGGACCTGCTTAGCTGGAGCAGAAACTAGTGTTACAATACTGGATGTAGAAAGCCAGAACTATAACAGCTCAAAGGCAGAATCTTTTGCTTTTGGTCATTTTTGGATCATGCATGCTTAATAAATTAGGATATATTGGGCAAAGACCAAGGACTATACAGTTAATGGTAATGAGAACCCAATACCATCAGCGTGGAGATGACCTTGAATTGTAAGAGCCCAAGATTGGCCTCTTCAGGTACATGGAAAGGGGGAAATGAAGAGTTTAAGTTAGCCTGAGTATAACTCCATTTTGAAATAAAGATCTTGACTGGGAGCTGAATTCAGACACCAGGAAATATCACAAAATGTTCACCTAGCAGAGAACAAAGTTAACTCTCCTAGCAACAGCCTCCAAGAAATACCACAGAATAAATGTTTCACAGGAAACAGAGACAATCTCCCTGGCAATAATCAAGGAGAATCGGTTGGGAATCGGGTGGGAGAATTCTCCCCAATGTTTCAGATATAGTTTAGAAAAATAGCCATTGTGATTATATGCTTTACCCATTGTGATTATATGCCTTAGCCATCGTGATTGTGTGCCTCAGAGAAGGTCACCCCACCCTGCTAAACCTCACCCAATTCTGTAATGCCAAGGCTTGTGCCCCCTGCTTGCTGCCATGGAAACCCCCTGATTACAGACTTCCCCTTTAAAAATCCTGTTCACTCAGAGCTCAGGGTCCCACTTCTCTACTGCTGGGTCAGTGAGACTTGGGTCCCAAGTTAGATCGCTCTGGTAATAAAGCTCTCTTGCAATTGCATCGAGTCGTCTCCTGGTGGTCTCTGAGGGTCCCGTGAACCTGGCATTACAACCCCACACCACATCGCCCCACACTGCATCACCCCAGTGTCACCCCACACCACACGGCCCAGGGGGAGGAGGACGACTCACTGCAGGACGCACTCCGGCAGCTGCACATGCTCCATGGGGATGAGGTGCTCCAGCTCCTCCAGGCTGTGCACGTACTGGATCTTACTGATGAACTTGACGCTGACAGTGACAAAAGGGCAGGAGAGGGCTCACCACACAGAGCAGGGCCACGCCACCCCCAGCCCGACAAGCCGCCTATGCTGGCCTTGAACTCAGGACCTCCTGCCTCAGCCTCCTCCCCAGACTTCTCATGGACTGTCACAGTGGCCAGGGTGGACTGTGGTGAATGACAAGCATCTCAGAGGTGTTCCTATGTTCATTCATTGTAAGAATAACAATTATTCCCAGCACGCTGTGAGTTCCAGGCCAGCCTGGTCTACAAAGGGAGTGCAGGACAGCCAAGGCTGCACGGAGAAACCCTGTCTCGAAAACCCGAAAACAAATACATAAATAAAGCTCAGAGGATAAGAGTCTTGGCTGCTCTTCCAGAGGTCTGGGTTCAGTTCCCAGAAGCCACACGGTGGCTCACAACCATCTACAGTGAGATCTGGTGCCCTCTTCTGTCGTGCAGGCAGAGCACTCTACAAAACAGATAGATAGATAGATAGATAGATAGATAGATAGATAGATAGATAGATAGGCAGGCAGGCGGGCACAGCTCTCCACCTAGCCTGGTTCTACATGCCTGCCATCCTGGCACTCATGGAGCTGAGGCAGGGGGACTGACCTATACTACTTAAGGAGACACAGTTTTCAAAGCAGCAAGGGCCAGGACATGAGTTCAAATCCATAAAATGTATATGAAAACCAGGCGTGGCACCCTGCACCTATAACCCAGAGCTGGGGAGGCTGAGAGAGGAGGCTCCCGGGCTCTGGGGCCTGAGGCCTTGCGCATGCCCCCAGCTCACAGCGACCAGCCCGGGCCCTGAGCGGGACGGCGGCCCGTGGCCCACCTGATGAAGGGCCTCGAGATGGCCAGCACGGTGCGGATGAACCAGGACGGGTGCACGATGATCAGGGATTTGAGGTTCTTCCTCAGCCTGTGTGGGGAGGCGAGGGGAGAGGCCGCGGTCACGAGGGGGGGCACGCTGGGCCGCCCCTCGGCCCTCCCAGGCCCTCCCCGGCCCACGGAGTGGCCTCAAACACAGCCATCCCCCTGCCTCTGCCTCACTGAGCGCTGGGATCTCAGGCCTGCGCCGCCTGCTCAGCTCGCAGTCCCGAGACGCGCTTTCAGCTTCGAAAAGCCTGTTTGTTAGAAGCTGTCCGTGAGACCGGCAGGGCGGAGCCAGCCTGCGCCCACGCACAGGTGACAGGCTTGGCCCTCGGCTGGAATATTACTCAGCAGTGAGGAGGGAGAGGCCTTTCCTCGGACACCTCAGGGGAGGACGGCCCTTGAGGACTCAATGCTCCGACATGGCTGGGGCACGGAAGGCCTCGCGGCTCGGTGCCGCCCTCTCCGGGGTTCCCTGGGGTCCTCACTCAGCTGAAGGTCCTGGCAGGACCCTAGGGTGCCCTTCCTTCAGAGCCTGGGGGGAGCCCGGCCTTGCCCAGCCTGACCTCGGGCTCTGCCTCCGGGCTGAAGGGTGACGCCGCCTCAGCGAGCGTCTCCACCGCAGCCCTCACCTCCTGTCGATCATGTGATAGCACTTCTTCAGCCAGCCGATGCCCGGCATCCTCCGGCGCGGTGTGGCGCCGTTCAGGTACACGATCATGTAGTCCTCGGCCACCAGCAGCTCCAGGCTGCTGATGACGTACCTGCCCGGGGTGGGGGTGGGGTGAGCGCGGAGCTCCCGGTGGGGGAACCCGGCAGGGCCTGCGTGGGCCTGAGCAGGCGTGGGCGTGCACGTGATGGATGCTGGGAAACCGAGTCTGACTTTGCCCGGGGCGTGGCCTGAGCCCAGTGGGCGGGACCCAGGGAGCCCCCAACGTTATCTCTGAGCTCCAGGGCACCCCATCTCTGCCTGGCTGCTTGCAGGGTCTAGCCTGGAGCCCCAGGAGCCCCGCCAGCCTCTCTGCCTCCCAGGGGCGGGGGGGAGGGCGCCGACTCACAGGAAGAGATTCTCCATGATGTAGTGATAGTCCGGGGAGCTGCTGTCGGGCAGGAAGCAGGCGGCGAAGACGATGATGGCGTTGAGACCTTCCCCGTAGTACCCTGAGGAGACGCGTCCTGTGAGCGTGGCCGTAGCCCCGGCTGGGCCGCCCCACCCCCGCTCCCGGCTCGCGCGCCCAGCGGCGCCCGCGCTCGCGCACCTCCGTGGGTGACCACCTTCATGTAGGGCCGGATCATGTGCAGGTCGATGCGGTGCTCCTGCTCGCCGATGATGACGGTCCGCCACAGGCGGCCGTTGGCGGCCCCGCCGTCCTCCCCCGCGCCGTCCCCGAACAGGTCCGCGCTGTCGCCCGGCATGTTCTTGGCGGTGGCCACCGGGGTGTCATCTGCCCGGGGGAAGGGGCGAGGGTTAACGTGCGCTGAGAAAGTGGCGGGGCCCTGGGGGGGACCCCCGTGAGGTGAGCTAGCCTGGGCTAACCGAAGCGCGAAGCGCGGAGACGGGCCCGTGGGCGGCGGCCTTCCGCTCCTGCCTCCTCTCTCCCGGTCTAGGAGGCTCCGCGCTGAGCTGCCCTTTCTAGAACCTTCTGCTGAGGTCTGGGTCCCTCTGCCCCTGCAGCCACGCGGCCAGCGTCCCTGGGGCCTCCCTCATCTGTGAGGACCCCCGCGGCCACAGGCCCGCGGGAACCAGGGCGGACGGGGCCAGAAGATGCCGACTGAAGCCCAGGGGACAGGGCGGGGACCCCACGTTACCTTCCCACTCGAGCTCGTTGCCGTTGCCCAAGAACTCCAGCGAGTCCGTCTCATCTGGTGTCTCGATGTCGTCCACGTTGATGTCCAGGTCGTCGGGGGTGTCCAGGAAGTCGTCAGACAGTAGCGAGCCCTCACTCTGGTCCAGGGAGATGTTGATCTCCGGAGCCACCAGCGTCTTTCTCTTCCGATGTGCTCCGCTCAAGTTCAGGTTGGAGGGAGGCGCTGCGGGGAGCCACAAGCGGGAAAGAGTGCTCGCTCTCCCAGGCCACAAGGGGTCTCATGTAGCCCAGGCTGCCCTCAGATTCACTAGGTAGTAGGGAGAGTTCTAGGAGGATGGCCTTGAACTCCTGGTGTCCACCTCCCCGGTGCTGTGTGAGCCCCGCCTAGAACCCCAAGTGAGGGGCTGGGGGCGTGGTCAGGGTGGAGCCCCGCCTAGAATAACCCAGTGAGGGGCTGGGGGCGTGGTCAGGGGTGGAACTCCATCATCATTGCTCCAGGTACCGAAAGTATATAAAAAATTCATCATGGCTCCCCTCCTGTTTCTCTTTTTCTCTCCACAGTTTCTGGACAGCCCGTCAGAAGCGCCTCTTCAGGAGTTTGGAAATAAATTAAGCTTTCCAAGAAAATTCTAAACTGGACCCTGCTGGAGCTGCCCACTCAAGGGGAGGTTTTGTTTTAGGTTCAGCGTGACAGTACAGAGGAAGGCTGTCAGTTACCCGGGGTGCCCTGGGAACCCGGGGGCTGTGACCCTCCCTGACTCCCTCCCAGAAGTGGGCGGAGCGCGGGGATCTGTGAGGTAGGTTAAAGGTTACTGATTCCTCCCCAGGGCAGCTTCAAAGTCATGTCCCAGGGTCATGGCGAGGTGAGACAAAGAAGGATAAGTATTTGAAGTAAAGCGGAGTATTGCCAAGCCTTAAAATTAAATGACACTGAGGTGTGGGGGGGGGAGGGGATCATAGATTTGAATCTACCTAAAATTTCCCTAAAATTCAGAAAGAGTTAGATGGAATTTGCTCTCAAAACTGGTACTTTGCCAGGTGGGATGGTGGCAGCGCACGCCTTTGATCCCAGCACTTGGGAGGCAGAGGCGGGTGGATCTGTGTGAGTTCTAGGCCAGCCTGGTCTACATAGTGAGTTCCAGGACAGCCAGGGCTACCTAGTGACCCTCTCCCTGTCTAAACAAACAAACAAAACAAAAAAGCATTTCTCCCCTTTCCCAGACACAAAAAGAAGGATTTATCCTAAAAAGACCCTAGAACGCACACACTGTCACCCAGCTCTTGAGATGTGAAGGCAGGAGGGTTAGGACTCATCCTCAGCTACATAAAAAAAAGTTTGAGCTAGCCTGGGATACATAAAACCCTGTCTGAGACATCCAAACAAAACAAAACAAAACAAAAAAATAGAACAAAAGGAAAAGGAAACAACAGAGAGTCCCCTTAGCCTCCGTTGCCCGGCCTCCAAACAGCACAGTGTTGGCCCGCGCTTGGCTGCCCGCCGGACCTCCATTAACACCTTATCCTGCGGAAGGACCTGGAGAACACAGCCGGAACCGGCCAGGCACCCGCTTCCGGTCTCAGGGCTTCGCCACGCCAGGAGGCGTCGTGGGGGCAGCCGGTGAGGCGATCGGGGCGGCCGCCCCTGAGCTGCTGTGGTGCAGGCTGCCCCTGAGCTGCTGTGGTGCAGGCTGCCCCTGAGCTGCTGTGGCGCGGGCTGCTGTGGCGCGGGCTGTCACTGAGCTGCTGTGGTGCGGGCTGCTGTGGCGCGGGCTGCTGTGGTGCAGGCTGCCCTTGAGCTGCTGTGGCGCGGGCTGCTGTGGTGCGCGCTGCTGTGGTGCCGGCTGCTGTGGTGCAGGCTGCCCCTGAGCTACTGTGGTGCAGGCTGCCCCTGAGCTGATGTGGTGCAGGCTGCTGTGGCGCGGGCTGTCACTGAGCTGCTGTGGCGCGGGCTGCTGTGGCGCGGGCTGTCCCTGAGCTGCTGTGGCGCGGGCTGTCCCTGAGCTGCTGTGGCGCGGGCTGCTGTGGCGCGGGCTGTCCCTGAGCTGCTGTGGCGCGGGCTGCTCTGCTCTGGCGCGGGCTGCTGTGGCGCGGCCGCAGTGGTGCAGCCGCCTCGAGGTAAACGGCGGCTCCTGGCCCTCCGGGGGGAGCCTGCGCCCGGTGCTGGCCGCAGCCCCGTCTGGGGAGGTCACGGCCCCGTGAGGACGGACTTCCGGCGCGTGGCTGAGCGGGGAGGCTGTCGCGCTGGCCTGTGGCCAGGCTGGGTGGGCAGAGCGGAAGCGTCACCGGCCCTCCCAGGGGCGGCCGGCAGGGGGAGCCGCAGTACCGTCGGAGGGCCCAGCCCTGGCCAGCCGCCCCTGCCGGGGGCCGTGACCCCGCCTTCCCGGCAGCCCGGAGGAGCAACCAGGAACCTCAGCAAAGCGGGCTGTCGGCAGACAGAAGGTTTAGTCCGAACTCAGGGGCACCCAGGCTGACGGGGAGCCGTGACCCTACATGTACGAAAGCAGATCCAGTTTACGGGAGAATAGAGACATTTCTGAGGGTTTTAAGATGCTGTGTGCTCTGCCAAAACGGCCCGCACCCTAAAAAGGAAATCCTGCCCGGCACAAAGGCGCGTGTCCGACGTCTGTCCTTGTAGCGCTCTGGAGGTAGACAGTCCGTCCAGGAGTGGCTGGGCCGTGCCTCAGGCTTGCTCTGGCTTCCAGTCCAGGAACTACACCACGAGGAGGAGGGAGGTTTGGAGGGAGGCGCAGGCACAGGGCTGTGCACCGACGGGAGGCCCTTGGCTCTCGCTTGCCAGCGGGCCACACCCAGGGGCTTGGCTGCCGGTGCTGACAGAGGCCCTGTGGCGGTCGAACGGAAAGTGGCTCTGATAGCAGGCGTGGCCTTGTGAAAGGAGGTGTGTCACGGGGGGTGGGGCCTGAGGCCTCAGATGCTCAAGCCAACGTCTGCCTCTCTCTCTTCCTGCTGCCCGCAGATCCAGAAGGAGAACTCTCTGCTCCACGGCTGCCGTGTTTCCCGCCATGCTGATAATGCGGTCGGTCCCCGAACCTGTAGCCCGGCCCCGGTTAAGTGCCTTCCTCTATAAGCAGTGCCCAGAGCGTGGCGGCCCTTCACAGCGACAGACCCACCGCTGGCGAAGACAGGTCCTCGGGGAATTCTTCCTCTTGGCCTCAGGAGCGCATCGCCGCCTGTAGAACTTGGCCAGGTACTATGGTCTGCTTCCTAGAACTTCTGGCAACCCCCCTGCCTCAGCCCCTCCCCCCCCGTGTTCTGGGACTCTGGGCAAGCACCTTCACATTCCCGTGTGAATTTAAATACATTTTCTAACTGAAAAAAAAAAAAATTCGTTTGTACAGGTGTGTGCAAATACAGGAGACGGGGCCCTCTGTGGGTGCTTGCTCAGTCCTCCTCCACCCTGGTGTTTTCCCCATGGCGGCTCTCACTGGACTTGGGGGTCACTGACCACAGTGGACCAGCTCGGCAGTGAGTCTCAGGCATCCTCCTGTCTCCACCCGGGCAGTGCTAGAATTCCGTCACGACAGAAGTTCTACCATGCACGACCTCTCCCCCGAGGTTCAGGGCTCAGAGCTCAGGCAGAGCAGGACGATGAATACGCTACCCACGAGCGACCCCGCGTTTTCCTCTGCCCAGCCTCCCGAGGATTACCTGCCTTTAGTCCCCGGGGGCACAGAGACGTCAGGAAACCAGCTTAAGGACACACAGGGAGACACAGTGCCACCTTCGAGCGCGCGTTCTCCATCGTGAGCCCCCCCCCCCCAGGGCCTCCCTCCTGCATGCAGCCTGAAGCCACGCCCGCGAGTCTGCGCACCCTTACACTTACAGGAGGGGTCTTCCGCCGCGCCGCCCAGCAGCTCCACCCCGGTGTCTTCTGGGAGCGGTCTGCAGAGACGCCCAGGGACCCGAGTCCAAAATGCAGCAGGAGGTCCAGCCGAGGAAGGAGAAAGAGAGGAAGAGAGAGAGAAGAGAGAGGGAGGGAGAGAGAGAGAGAGAGAGAGAAAACCAACGAAGAAAATGAATGCACTCAGGTCAAGACAGTGATGCCCCGGTCTCGGCTCTCTACCTCAAAACACCCCCCCCCACACACACACACACACGCCCTTCATTCGCAGAAGCAAGTCCCAGAACACTTGGCCTCGGCCTTGGCCCCTGCTCTCTGCCGCCACCTCGTGGCCGGTCATCACAGCTAACTCCTGTAGCTCAGGATGGCCTCAAACTGGCAATTCTCCTGTGTCAGCTTTTCCAGTTTCAGTGTGACCTTGTCTCCACAACAAATAAATACGTCAATAAATATTGTAAAAATTACAGATTAAAAGCCAAGTGGTATTGGCACACGCCTTTAATCCCAGCACTCGGGAGACAGAGGCAAACAGATCTCTGTGACTTCGAGGCCAGCCTGGTCTACAGAGCGAGTTCCAGGACAGGCCGGGCTACACAGACAAACCCTGTCTCATAAATAAATAAATAAATAAATAAGATACACAGTGTGATCCTGGGAAGATTTTCAGTGGGGAACAGAAGTTCAAGGTCATCCTCAGCTACATAGGGAACTCTAGGCCAGCCTGGGCTACCTCACACCCTGTCTCAAATGCAAACAATGAAAAGCTGAGCAAGTGCTTGACCACTGAGCCACACCAGCACCTCTGCCATGTGTGTGCACAGATGTTGTTCCTCAGCTGCTGGACCGTGCCTGGCAACCTTGCATTCTGACTCAGGGTCACCCACTGGCCTGGAGTTCACCAGTTCAGCTAGGTTGGTCCAGGCTAGGGAGGCCAGTGCACCAGGATCCTCTGCCCCCCCCCCAGCCACTCACCCCTCACACAGGCTCTGAGGGTTTGTAGTCGTCGGGGTCCCCAGCCTCAACCCAGTTTGGGTTTTGGTTTCTCTTTGCATCCCTGTTCTCTGGGAGTTCACTGTGAGGACCAGGCTGGCCTCGAACTCACAGAGAGCTGCCGGCCTCTGCCTCCCTAAGTGCTGGGATCACAGGGGTGCTCCACTGCTCCCGGCTTCAACCTCAGCTTTTAAGTGAAGACTTGAGAGCTGGGAACGTGGCCCACGGGGACTGGAGAGGGGCATTCTGGGTGGCCAGCGCAGCACTGGCAGACTCAGAATACCCTGGAAGCCTGGCCAGGGATGATGGCGAAGGGGAGTGAGAAACAGTCCTCCCCCTTCACCTGGTGTTGCACTCTGAGCTTCAAGCGGAAGCATTAGATGGGACGTCCCAGAACTAAACATCCGGTCGGGTTTCAGCTGGGTGAGTAGAATGATGACATCCTGGCTGTTCTCCCTGTCACAGGAATCATTGCTCCGGGCAGAGTTTCCACTCTGCGTGTGCTATGCTCCTGTTAGCTCAGTAGCCGCCTTATACAGGCCATCCCACGTGACCTCTACTTTATTTGATAAGGGGTGGCTCCAGAGTGGCTGTGCCCAACAGAAATGAGGCGAGAAGAATCGGGGAACACTGACCTCACCAGGAGGTGCTGCCGCCCTTAACCCCAGCGTTGGAGAGGCAGAGGCAGGGGCGTCTCAGGCCTTCTAGGCTACGAGGTGAGCTTGAAGTCAGCTTGGCCTATAAGGAACCCCGTCTCAAAATGTTCCCACACACACTCTTTCTGTCTGTCTCTCTGTGTGTCTCGCTCTGTCTCTGCCTCGGCCTCTCTCGGTCTCTCTGTCTGTCTGTCTGTCTCTCCAGTAACCCCCTGCCCTGGGCTTTGCCCTGGAAGGCGAGCGGGCACCCAGATCCGTCCTGAAAGGCTGTGCACACAGGGGCCTCTGTGCAGCTGCAGCTGAAGCCGGGGTCTCGAGAGGCCCAGAGCACCAGGCTGGCAGCGCTGTAATGCCACACAGGGGAGTGTCTGTCTTGAGGTGGGCGGGGACCCCGGCTGCCGCTGGATAAGGAGAGTCTTGGTTGTGTGCAGCTGGATGGCCCTTGCTGACCAGGGAGGCCGGGCCAGGGGCTTGTAAAGAAACAACACGTTTCTCCCTCTTGCCTCTTGTCAAGACTAGCACAGGCTAGCCTTGGACTCCGTGATCCTCCTGCCTCTCCTCCCTGAGTGTTGGGGGGGGCGGTGAGAGAGGCGAGTTTGTGTATTGCCGGGATGGAAGGCAGGGCTTCTGCTCGCTGGGCGAGTAGCCCCTGAGCTCGCTGAATCCCAGCCTCCATATTGGCTGTTTTGAACTCTGTGTGTGCAGAGCCAGAGGTGGAGGTCAGGTGCCATGCTCACTTCGAATCCGTTTGTTCTTGAGAAAGGGTCACTCGATGACCAGGAGATTGACAATTAGACTAGGCTGGTCAGCAAGCTCCAAGATCCCATGTCTCCACCTCCCGGCTCTGGGGTCACAAATGCCGGGTTCCCTTCTTCCCTGAGGTCTAAGGTTTTAACTCATGTTTATAGTGCAAATACTTTATACCCTTGGAGCCATCTCCCCAGGGCCTGGTTTTTCAAAACCGCATTTCATTTAGCTCAGGCTAGTCTCGAACTTTATATGTAGCCCATGACCTTTCCTCTAATCCCTCACTGGGGGATTCTGGGCGGGGCTCCACCCTGACCACGCCCACAATTCCTCACTAGGGAATTCTAGGCCGGGCTCCACCCTGAGCACCCTCCTTTGCTTCTCCGCCACGCAGGTTGGACTGAACTCCAGCTTCCTCCGGGAGAGCTGAGCTGTGGGGCTCGGCTATCACAGCCAGCCTGGCTACCGGAATTCCCTGTCTGGGAGTCCTGGAGCAAGTGGCTCCGGAAGGCTCTGACACCTTCGGTAACAGTGGCCTGCCACGAGGCTCTGCCACAGTGGGCCAGGAGAGATTCGGGACCCCGGTGGTGGAGACGCTGGCGCCCTCACCTCGGCAGATCCTCATCCTGCCATTCATCCCTCACGTCCACGTTTTCCATCCTCAGCGTGGCTTCTGTGGTCCCCATGGGAGCCGGAAGAGGAGCCCACCGGAAGCTGGGGTGACCCGGAAGGTGATCTGGGGAAGAATGGACAGACTGAGCCAGACGGCCGTGACCACAGCCCCCACCCTCGGACACGCGTCCGCGTGGAGCTCTGATGGAAGCACGTCGCGGCAGGAGGATTCCCGGGCCACCTATGGGCACACTCGGGGCTTAGGTCATCTGCGTGTGAACTCGGGTGAGGAGTTGCGCCCCTAGACACAGCCCCCTCCGTGGGGACCTCTCAGAGCCGCCAGGCTCACCTTCCTCACCTTTTCCCTGACCTCAGCTGTGGAGGGATTGATATCAGCAATGATAAAAGCTGGATGATGGTGACACACGCCTTTAATCCCAGCACTCTAAGTTTGGGGCCAGCCTGGTCTACAGAGTGAGTTCCAGGTCAGCCAGGGCTACACAGAGAAACCTTGTGGCAAACAAACACAAAAAGAAACAAAAGGAAAAAGAAGAAAAGGCCTGTGAAGCTCATTCATACTAAGGAATGAATGACCGTCAGGACGACCTTCCCCACCGTCCTCAGCACTGTCACAGAGGGACTCCTCTCTGACCAGCGTCTGTCCACTCCCAGCCCTCCGCCCTTTCCTTCAGTCTCGGCCTTGGGCAGGTGGGAGGGTAGCTGCCACTAAGCTCGGTTCATGTGGGACCCCATCGTGTGTGGGGGGGGGACCCACCGCCCTCAGCTGTGTCCTGACCTCTGTACGTCATCTGCCAGTGCCTCAGTTTCCCTGTCTGTGGGAGGGGTGGAGAAGTACTGGCTTCTGTTGTGTCATCTGAGCCTACCACCCTGATTCACGCTGTAGAAATTGATTGTTTGTGTGTCTGCTCCGGTGTGCACATTCTGATGGAGGTCAGAGGTCAACGCCAGTGTCCTCATCACCCCCTCCTTTTACTTTGAGGCAGAGACCCGCTGCCCCTGAAGCTCGGTGAGCCAGGAGCCCAGTCCCGGGCGGGCCGCTCTGTCTCTGCTGCTTCCCCCCAGCTTTCTTTTGTGTGTTTTGCCTGCATGTCTGTCTGCACCACGTTGGTGCCTAGTACAGAGGACAAAGGAGAGGGCGCTGGGGCCCCTGGCGCTGGAGTCCCAGGCGGTTGTGAGCCGCCATTGTGGGTGCTGGGAATCGATCCGGGATCCTCTGCGGGAGCAGCCGATGCCGACAGGGCTGAGCTGTCCCTCGGGCCCCAGCTGGGCCTGGGTTTGCTGGGGGTGGGGGCTGTGTGGTCCAGCTCAGCCTCGGAAGCTGGCAAGGCGTGCGCCGCCACGGCCAGTTTGTGAGCCTTTCAGTTACAGTTCCCTGTTTTGTGTGCGTGTGCATCCGAGGACCGTGTGGAGGCGACGGTTCTCCGCCTCCACCATGGGGGTCCCGGGAGCAAACTCAGGTCCGCAGAAGTCTTTGCTTGCCCAGCTCTGGGCTCCCAGAAGCCGCTGCAAGCAAGTCCCCGTGCTTCCAGGGTGAGAGCCCCATGCCCCGGCCCTGTGTGCAAACCAGCTGGGCAGCTCTTCACTTCCTCCCCCGGAGCTACGGGACAGTGCACGCTGTGGCCTGTGGCGGCACGGAGACTCCCCAGGACCCTCTGATGGACCTCAGGGTTGCCAGGACACATCCCCCCACGCCCACCCCAGCACAGGCCTCCCCACACACGACTAAATATGCCCCAAATCCAACCCTGACACCAACAGGGCCACATCTGCGAAATCCTGTTTTTCTCCTCATTTCCATGTTGACAACAGGCTTCCAGGGCCTGGTGGTGGGATGTTAGGATTCTCCACCAGTCACCCCTGGTCCGTCCTCTGGGCCCCTGACAAGCGCCGAGGCCTCGGCCCCTACCTCGGGGGCCCTTCTCGGCTGGTGGCCGGGGTGTGTCTCCCGCAGCCAGTGGGCGCCGCCGGCAGGTGTGACCCAGGCTGGAGAGGGGGGAGGGGCCGCGGGAGGCGGGGCCGGCGGAATGTCATCACCCATTCATGGAGGAGCCCCAGCGCAGGAGGCAAGCTCGCCCGCAGGCGTCCCCAGCGCCGCTGAGTCAACTCCATTGTGTCTGTGCAGGGAGGGGACACAGGTTCCCTCATCCCCAGCGGCCTAACCGGGGCAGGACCCTCAGCTACACACTTCCAAGTCCTGGGTGTGGCGGGTCTCCAGACCTGGAGCCTCGGAAAATCCAGGAGAAGCCGCGCAGGTTCGGGCCTGGTGGCCGCGCTGCTGACAACCACCCTTTTTAACGTATGCGCGATTTTGATGTCTCCAAGCCCGCAGTCAGGGTTATAAATAGACGAGACCGGCCCCGGATGAGCGCCTGCCGCCCCCGGGTCGCTCCGGCCAGGGCCGGGCTCTGTCCCTTCGGCTCTGCGTGCTCCAGCGAGGACCAGGGGCGCCGGGCGCAGCGTCCCGGCTGGGGGGCCGCCTGCGTCTCCCGGATCCGCCTCTCCCCTGGCCGGGCTGAGAGCAAGGGACCAACGACAATTGAGATTTCCAGTTAGCGGAGGGCCCACTCACCTCCGCGGCGGCTGCCTCTGCGCCGTCACTTGGACACAAAGGCGGGCCGGGCGCAGACGCGGGCGGGCATCTCTCGGTGGTACCCAGGCGAGGAGCCCGGCGGAAGGATGCTCAGGGGCAGGTCCACATCCGAGGAAGGTCACCCAGGGCGACGCGGCCCGCGGCACACCGGCTCCGGCCCAGCTGGGGAAGGGGCAGGGCAGGTCAGCAGCCGCAAGCCTGTCCCCCCGAGGCCTCGGTGCGCCCCGCCATCACAGCCCGGGCCTGCCGCGGCGCCCGCTTCCCCCTTCCCGGATGGCTGAGGCTCTGCCTGCCCCCAGACAGCGGAGGAAGCTGCTTTTGTGTGCAGGGGGCGGGCCCAGGCCTGATCGACAGCCCCGGCCCCACCTGCCTGCCTCCTCCTCTCGTCATTGGCGGAGGGGAAAAGCATCTCCCAGCCAAGCCCGGAGCAGGTGCAAAAGAACAAACAAACTGTGAGATGATGCATCGCGGTTATGCAGAATCACAGCGAGAGACAAAATAAATAAATGGACCAACAGCCTTGGCCTGGTTCCACGGGAGGGGGCGGGGAACTGCGGGGCTCTGGTTTGGGAGAAGAGGCGCCCTTGAGACCATCGAGTGCATGGACATGGAAGTTTTCAGGTCCCCCGTCCGGGTGAGGCAAAGGGCCCGCAGCCACCCAGGACGAGGCTGGGTGTTGGGTGCGACCAGCCGGGCTGATTTGCCTGAGATGGACTGGGCCTGTGCTGCCGTGGGCACAGCGCCCCCTGCCGTGCTCCGGAGGAGTTCTAGAAGCTGATGGAAGGGTGGAGGGCTCCCAGCTCAGCCGCTGATGGCGAGTTTGTGCCCGGATCCCAACCTCTGAGCCCCCCGAGGCCAGCGCCAGGGTGGACTACGGAGACCCCATCCCAGAAGCAACAAGAGGGGTTCCCGGGGGTGGCCCAGCGGGCAGGAGTGGGGAACCAGGGAGGGGTCGCCCTAGACGCCAGCGTGGCTCTGCGCTCCTGCAGACCCCGCCGGATCGGGCTGCGGAGGAGCCTGGGGCTGGCTGAACAGCCATGCGAGCGCCACTGAGGAAGACATGGGATGTCAGCTTCCGTCCTCTGTATGCGCGTGAACTCACGTCTGCACAGAGGCCCCACACCAATGTCAAAAGCAGGAGAGGTGGGGGCGTGGTCAGGGTGGAGCCCCGCCTAGGATCCTTCAGTGAGGAGATGGGGGCGTGGTCAGGGTGGAGCTCCGCCTAGAGAGGCCCAGTGAGGGGCGTGGTCAGGAGTGGAGCCCCGCCTAGAATCCCCAGTGAGGAGCTGGGGGCGTGGTCAGGGTGGAGCCCCGCCTAGAATCTTCCAGTGAGGGCTGGGGGCGTGGTCAGGGTGGAGCCCCGCCTAGAATCCCCCAGTGAGGGCTGGGGGCGTGGTTAGCGTGGAGCCCCGCCTAGAATCTCCTTGAGGAGCCGGAGCGAGAGGAGAGGGAGGCGAAGCTGGAGGCTTGAGGTAGCCCCTGACAACTGTGGCTGGTCTCCAGAAGTTACCAGAAGGTAAAAGGGAGCACGGAGGACCCACCCTGCGCAGACTTTGGTCCCCAGAAGTAGGAGGGAATAACGCCCCCACCCCATCAATTTATTGTATGTTCTCACTTTTCCAGGTAACTGATGTGTGACCCCCACACGGGAGGGGACCTCTGACACGGTTCTGCGCATCCTGCGAGCGCATCCGGGTCCTTCCTGCCACAGGCCCTTGCCTGCGCTGTCCACCCTCTCAGAGATCCGACGTCCACACACCTCACACGGCTTCCTGTCTCCGGATCCCTTCCAGGCATTTCCTGCCGTGGGTTTCGCGTGTGGCTGCTCGGGTCCCTGAGCTCGTTCACACGCCGGTGTGGCCCTCCGGAGCCTTCCGTCTCCCCGCACTGCAGCCGAGTTCGGCCCCACCCTACCTCCATCACCTCTCCCGGCTCCTGCATCCCGCTTCCTGTCTGTGGGGACTTCCGGGGCCAGAAGTGGAGGGAATCAATAGGAAAAAGGCCCCAGGTAACCCGGGTTGTGCTTCCACCCACGCGGGCGCCCGGGGTAGCGCTCCTGGGCGGGGGCGGGGCCAGGAGGCGCTCTCAGAGGTGGGGGGCGATGGGCCGGGTGGGGGCGGGGCCTGTGCGGGCTCGGGGCGGTGCGTCAGGGGCAGGGCCGTGACGTCACCCCCGTGGGCTCGGGGAGGACGCGGACATGGCGGCTAGCCGCTCCTCCAGCCTCGCGCAGGGCGCCCGCCCGTCGTCCAGGTAATGAGCCCCGCGGGCTGCGGGACGCCCCAACCCCGCGGGACGCACTCATGAGTCACGGGGAGTGGGGCGGGCCCGAGGCGGGGCGACGGTCCCTGGGGTCCGCGGGAGGGCGGGGAGGGACAGGCTGGGTGGGGGCGAGGACCCGTGGGGACAGGGCCAGCCTAGGAGTGACCAGCCTGGCTCCGGTGGGGACCTAGGTTGGAGGACAGGGCTGGGAGAGGGGACTGACCTCAGAGAGGGCCTGAGACCTTGGGGAGCCTTCCAAGCGGGAATGGGGTGGGGTGCTCTGGCCCCTGATGGATGGAGTCAGGAGTCCTGGTGTGTGATGGATGGGGGACCCTCCAGGCAGGGATTCAGCCAGGGGTTCTGAGGTCTGATGGATGAGAGAACCCTCCAGCTGGGCATGGATTGGGGCTTCTAGTCCCTGATGGATGGGGGCCCTCCGGGTAGGTGTGGGGGCTGGGGTTCTGGTGTCTGATGGGTGGAGGACCTGGCCAGCCATGGTGCAGTGAGGCTCTGGTCTCGAAGTCAGTGAAGGTACGGGCGGGCGGCACAGGCCTCCAACCCAAGCTCTGAGTGACAGAGACTGAGGGGAGGAGGGGTCTGGAGTTCGAGGCCAGCCTGAGCCGCAGGGAGTATGCTCGCAGGCTGGGTGACTCAGGGAGACTTGTCTCTGAGTAAATGGACGAGTGAGCGGTCAGTGGAAAGGAGCCGAGGGCTGCCAGCCGGGACACACCCTCCTCTTCAGGGGTCTTGGTTCAGGTTACCCTGGAGACACACTGTGGCCAAGCGCTGTGAGGGGCAGCCTGAGTTCAAGCCCGGGGAGTCCGGCTGAAGGATTAACGGACTCCTGCAAACTGTCCTCTGCCGTCGCACAAATACACAAACAAATGTTTGAAAAAGAAAAGAGGGGGCTGGAGAGACGGCTCAGTGGTTAAGAGCACTGTTTGCTCTTCCTAAGGACCCATGTTCAAACCCCAGCACCCACATGACAGGTCACAACCGTCGGTAACTCCAGGCCTGACGCCGGTGCACATAAAATAAATAAAATTTTAAAAAAAAATCAAAGAGAAGAAAACAGCACAACCAAAGCTTACATTTTCACATCGCCCTTCATCCAAGGAAGTCAGGGCAGGAACTCAGGTAGGGCAGGAAGCAGGAGCTGACGCCGAGGCCACGGAGGGGGCTGCTTACCGGCCTGCTCCCCACGGCTCGCTCAGACTGTTTTCTTATAGAACCCGGGACCACCAGCCCAGGGCTGGCGCCACCCACCATGGGCTGGGCCTCCCATCAACTCTCAGTTAAGAAATGCTCCAGGGCCTGGCCGCTGGCCAGTCTTACGGAGGCGTCGTCTCAACTTAGGCGCCCCCCCCCCCATGACTTCAGCCTGTGCTGAGTCGACCTGAAACTAAGCTGTCCCTTGGAGTGTCCATTCCCTGTCACCGAGACCACAGCCTATCGGAAGCCTTCTAGGACTCGCCTGCCACCCCGAGGCGGCCTCTAATCTGAGCCCAGGGTTGGGCTCCTGGGGACCCCTCAGCTGTGACTCTGGCTCTTATCGACACAGGGGCGGACAGTGACCCCGTAGCCTGTCTCCTGCTGTCCCCGGGTTCGCCCCGCTGCTGCCGGGGCGCCCTCCGTGGAGTGTGGAGTGTGCGGGTGGCTCCGGTGGGTCCTCGGCGCCTCAGAACCCCTGGGCAGTAGTCATTTCCCCAGGCTCTCCACATCGACGCTCCCTCCTGGCCTGGACGGCCGTAACAGTGCCTGCTGGTGCTGTCCCCGCAGCGAGGGGGCGGTGGAGGCCCGGAGTGAGGGGCTGGGGAGAGGGCTCAGCACAGCGGCTGGACTGGCAGGGGACGGAGGTGGAGTCACGGCGCCCACCCTCATTCCGTCTTCCGCCCTCACTGTGGAGCCTGGTGCGCCCTGCTGGCCTCCGAGAGCACGGGCCGCACAAGCCATGCAAGCAAAACACCCGTAGTCGTAAAATCAGAAGAAAGCAGCCCTGAGCCGGCGCGGTGGCCCGCACCTTCGGTCCCAGCCAAGGCCAGCCTGCTCTACAAAGTGAGTCCAGGACAGCTGGGGCTACACTGAGAAACCCTGTCTCAAAAAAAAATAATAACTAAATAGATATCTCGATAGATACCTAGATAGACAGACAGACAGACAGAGAGATAGATAGGGCTACTCACTGTAGCCCAGGCTAGCCTCCAGAATACCCGGGATTATAGGCCTGTGCCAGCACACCTGGTTCCTTCAACCACCTGGGCTTTGGAGGCTGTAACTGTGGATATCGAGACACACAAGGGAGATGGTATTGCAGCTAGTGAGAGCGCTGGCCACGCCAGTGTGAAGACCCAAGTTCGAATCCCCCGCATCCACACCTGTGCCCCTGGTGCTGGAGAGGATGACGGGGCCTGCCTGAGCTGCAGGGATAGTGAGTCGGGTCTGAGGCCCCACAGGAGTGGTGGGCTGGCCTGGCCGCACAGCTGCTGTGGGGGTTAACGCCAGCCACCCCGCTAACCCACTCTCTCTTTTGTGTTTTGGTGGCTCTAGCACCCAGCCATCCTCCACTTTGCCCCGCCCAGCGCCTGGGGCCAGCTACACCGGGCAGTTCACTCCCAGGACGGAGAGCTTCTCCAGCCTGGCCTTGGCCCCCACCACCCAGCCGCCTGCGCCTGCAGGAGGGGTCCCAGTGGGGCACAGTTGCTCCCAGCCCCGTGCCAGCCAGGGCCCCACAGCCGACGGCTGGCCCCAGGGCCCTGTCCCCGTGGCCACCGCTGTGGCCACCCACCAGGTACCGCAGCTCCACCTCATGCGACAAGATTTTGCTTAATTTTTTTACATGTATGAGTGTGTTGCCTGCATGTGTGTTGGGCGCCACGTGTGTGCAGCACCCGTGGAGGCCAGCAGAGGGCGCCACTTGTCCCCGAGCTGGAGTTCAGAGGGTTGTGCTGCCGTGTGGGTGCTGGGAATGAACTCAGACCCTCTGCAGGAGCGGCTGGGGCTCTAACTGCTGGTCCCCTCCAAGTCCCTTGCACCCCAGGGAAAGGCATCAGTGTCGCGTGGGGACATGCCTGATGTCCATGACATCAGCTAGGTCAGAGTTGCATCTCCAGGGACAGGAGGTGTCCTGGAGTGACAGGAGCCACCGTGTTGATGTCTCCCAAAGAGCCCAGAAGGATTTGGGGGGACACGAATTTGCCCCGAGCTGTGGCCCAGCCTGGAGCCTGCCATGGCTCCTTTTCCTTCTCTCTTGCTCACAGTTTCTGTCTCTCTCCTGTGTCACTGTCACTTGGCACAGACCCGCCATCCCCGAAGGGAATTGGAGCAATCCTGGGTGGGGTGATTTTACCTCAGGAATGCAAAGCTGGGGGCCGGGAGGTGCTGGCGCACACCTTTAATCCCAGCGCTCGGGAGGTAGGTGGGTCTCTGTGATCTCCAGGCCAGCCTGGTCTACAGAGTGAGTTCCGGGACAGCCAGGGCTGCACAGAGAGACCCTGCCTCAAAAACCAAAAGTAGATAGAAAGCTAGACAGACGGACAGACAGGACTGGCAGGGGGCCAGCGGGTAAAGACACTGAGTGCTAATCAGATGACCTGATTTGATCCCTGGGACCCAGAGCTGGAAGGAGAGCTGATTCCCACACACCGTCCTCTGACCCCGCATGCACACATGTTCATCCTTGCAATAAATTCGTGCAGAAATGAAGCGGTTTCTTAATGGCTGGGAGGGTGGCTCAGTGGGCAGCGTCATCACGCCCCCCCAACACACACACACACACACACACACACACACACACACACACACACAGGCTTCCATCCCAGCGCTACATAAGCCAGGCCAGAGGCTGTTCCTGTCTTCCTAGCGCCTGAGGTAAAGACTGGCGTCAGGAGTTCAAGGTCACGCTTGGCTATGTGGGAAATTCAAGGTCAGCCTGGCCTATGAGAGCCTGTTTCATCCATATGTGACACTGGATGAGCAAAAGCCCAGAGAGCTGGGGTTGTGCACTGTCCCCGTGTCCCTCTCTACTGTCCCCGTGTCCCTTTCCACTGCCCCCCAGTGTCCCAATGCCCCCACTGTCCCTCTCCACTGTCCCTGTGTCCCACACTGTCCCCCATGTCCCCCCAGTGTCCCACCCCACTGTCCCTCCATTGCCCTCCAGTGTCCCCCCACTGTCCCCAGTGTCCCCCAGCTCCCTGAGCTGATTTTCCTTCTCTGTCCCTGTCCCATGGAACTCTCCAGGAGGATGGTCACAGCTGCCGAGAGAAGGTGACCAGGAACTCCAGGGCCACATGGGATCGGCCAGCGACGTCGCCCTGCCGACCAGGTGGGGTGGGGGGATTCTCTGAGGGGCTGTGATGGATGTGTAGACAGCACAAGGGGTCACACTGGGTCAGCATAGGGCGCGCAGTGGGCCTATGTCCGGAGGAGCAGGCTGGGCTCCGGTCTCCACTCCAGTCTTACATCTTTTTGTTTCTGTGACATTTAATATTCACTGGCGCATCTGGGCGGTGGAGGGCCAGGGGACAGCTTTCAGGAGGCGGTTCACTTCTGTCAGGTGGGTCCCGGGAAGTGGGCTCTGGTCATCAGGCCTGGCCACAATTGTCTTTATCTGCTGAGCCATCTTGTCAGGTCTGTCTAATCTCAGGTTTAAATCTTTCTTGAGGTCCGGCCAGACGAGCTGGGCCCACACAGGCAAGGCTGAGTCCAGCATGAGATTCATCCTGGCTCTGCAGCCACCCAGTGGTCATGGGGTCCAGCCTGGGCTGCTGGCCTGACCCTCCCTGCGAGGTGGTTAACAAAGCTTTGGACCTGCCTGGGGTGGCCTGGCTTGGTCGGTACCTGTCCCCTTGTCTCTCCTCCTCCTAGGCCCAAGCTCCCGCAGCCCGGAGCCGATGTCGCCGGGACCCCAGCGTCCTCTGCAGAAGTCCCAGGCGCAGCCCCCTGCCCAGCGGGCCTCGCAGAGGCCACAGGTGCCATCCTCGCCGCCGGGTCCGGCGGGTTCTGAGCCGTGGGGTGGCCCAGGCCTGGGGCCCTGGGACCCCAGCTTCACCAGCGATGCGCTGCCGCTCCCGGACACGGTGCCGAAGCCCCAGGCGGGCCCCAGGCCGCCCTCCATGCACTACTGCGAGATCTGCAGGGTCAGCTGCGCGGGGCCGCAGGTCAGGACCGGCAGTGGGACGCCTCGGTGTCACCTGCCATCTAAAGCTGGAGGTGGTAGGTGTGGCAGGCGCCCTGGCGCCGGCCTGTCTCACCCGGTGGAGGCCGGAGGAGCGGGAGTTCAGGCCTTCCTCGGGCACGTTCAGCGTGAGGCCAGCCTGGGCTTCCTGAGCTCCTCCTGCAGGACTCGGGTTCGGTTCCGGGGCCCACGTGGCCTGCGCTGTAACCGCAGTTCCCGAGGACCAGCGCCCTCTGCCGGCCACCTCAGGCACAGACACCCGCAGCCAACACCCCGCACAGAAAATTAGATCCAACTTACTGGTAACAGTCTGTCAGAGAAAGTCCTGAGAAATGAGCTGTGCGAACGGTAGGCTTGTTTCCAGAGCTCCTGCTACCGTGCGCACATGCACAGGCGCACACGCACACAGCCGCACCTCAGGCGCGGGTCAGACGTCACTCAGCACCGAGACTGCTCAGGTCTCTCTGCGCCATAGCTGGGCCTGAGTGTGCAATCCTCCTGCCTCGGCACCCTCTTCATTTTGACACCCCACCCCAGTCAACCGATCCTGGGGGTCTGTTCCTGGCTGTCTTCCTCCTCCCGGCGCGTGTGGGCTGCGGCTAACCTATTTTTCACGGTCCTAAGAACTGAGCCCTTTTTTTGTACTCCCAGGACGAGAGGTTGGACCCTGTGGGTGCTGTCATCAGCTCCAAAGGGGGTGTTTCTCTCTTTACGGTCTTCTTAAGGTTATTTTTATGTAATTTCTGGGTATCAGTGTTTTGCCTACATGAAAGTCCGTGCCCCACGCGTGCGCCTTGTCCAGGGAGGCCAGAGGAGTCGTTGAGTCCACCTCAAACTTTGCCCTTAACCACTAAATCTTTTTCTGTCCTCCCCCTTTCTTTTTGCTTTTATTATTTATTTATTTATTTATTTATTTATTTATTTATTTATTTATTTATTTTTGAGGCAGGGTTTCTCTGTGTAGCCCTGGCTGTCCCGGAACTCACTCTGGAGACCAGGCTGGCCTCGAGCTCACGGAGATCCCCCTGCCTCTGCCTCCCGAGCGCAGGGATTAGAGGCGCGCCCCTCCACCTGGTTTTTTGTTTAAGAAGGGTCTCATATAGCCCAGGCTGGCCTTGAGGTCTCCACACAGATGACGACTTTGAACCCCTGCGCCCACACCTCCACCTCCCGAGTCCTCAGAGGACAAGCGGGAGCCCCACAGCTGGCTCCTCAGGACCTGGAGACAGAGCCTTCGCGCTCTGAACTTCAGCCCCAGCCTGGGAAAGCAGGGTCTGGCGGGTGGCAGCCCCGGTGCCAGACAAGATCTGGGACCCTGGGGGAACATTTTCATGAGAAAACTGGCTGGGGTTGATTCAGGGCTGTGAGGGGCCCTGCAGGCCCTCGCTCGTCACCTCCCGGGCGCGGGCAGTGGAGGCAGGGGGATCCCAGCCCCCCGAGCCCCGGCGGCGTGGCCTCGGCTGTGGCACCCGCTCAGCCGCCCACTCTGTTGCAGACCTACCGGGACCACCTGGAGGGGCAGAAGCACCGGAAGAAGCGGGAGGCTCAGAGGTCGGGCGCACGGCCCGGCGGGGCTCCTCGGGGGTCCCCCGGCCTGCACTGCGGCCTGTGCGGCGTGTCCTGCACCGGGGCGGACGCCTATGCCGCGCACCTGAGGGGAGCCAGGCACCAGAAGGTACGGGGTGCGGGGTGGGCTCCTCTCCCACCGCTCGGGGCGGCGGGGACCGAGCCCTGGCGGGGCTAACGCGGAGGCTGGAGGGATGGGCGCACCCCGGAGCGTGTGTCCCCCAAACCACACCCCCGCCCGCGGGCCTCAGCGGCCGCAGAGAGAGGACGCGGTGCAGGGGTTGGAGAGAGAGGGGCCGCAGGCAGGAGGCAGCTCGGGACCTTGGTTTGGGGGGGAGGCGCGCCCCCACGTCTCCTCCGGCGGCCTGTTCAGGGCCGAGCGCCTTGTTCGTCTCCCGAACATGCTCCTGACTGAAGGCCGGGGCGTGGGGGGTCCATGGCAGGTCTTCAAGTTACACGCCAGGCTGGGGAAGCCCATCCCGCCCGAGCCCGCACCACGGAGGGTCGCCTACACCCGAGGTTCGGACAGCACCCCCGAGACCTCAGTCAGGCGTGAGGCGCCTGCCCGTCACAGCCCGCACGCCCCAGGCCGGCCAGCACCAGCCAAGGGACCAACAGCAGCATCGCGCAAGGGTACAGGCCTCTACAGTTGGTGTGTGTGAGCAGATGACTGTAGGAGCCCCTCCCTGGGGGTTCTAGGCGGGACTCCGCCCTGACCACGCCCCTCCTTGGGGGTTCTAGGCGGGGCTCCGCCCTGACCACGCCCCCAGCCCCTCACTGGTGAGGGTCTGCGCAGGTGCTCAACCCATGAGTCACACTCCCCGCTTTTGGATTTTTAGGGGCTTGTCAGTTTTTTTTGACAGGGTCTCTCTGTGTAGCCCTGGCAGTCCTTTAACTCACTCTGTAGACCAGGCTGTCGTCGAACTCAGATTCACCTCCTTCCGCCTCCCAAGTGCGGGGACTCCAGGTGTGCAGCACACCCGGCCAGGCCTTGGTTTTTGAGATAGGTCCTCACTGTGTAGCTCCCGGTGACCTAGAACCGACGATCCTCCTGCCTCGGCCTTCCGAGCGCAGGATTCCGGGTCCGTGCCCCCAGCCGCTCGCCGTCCTTGACCTGTGGTACCACGGCCTGCCCCCCCCCCAATGGCTGCGGGACCCCGCAGGAGGGCGGGCCTCTCGGGTTCACAATCCCGAGGGCCCATGGGAGAGGGCAGGGGCCGCCTGGGCGTGCGGCGACCGTGGTTTCTGGCAGGGCCGCCCGAGCCGCCGACGGCGCACAGCCGACCTGGGGAGAGGACGCCATCGCACCCTGGGCTGGAGGCCACCAGGGGCGGCCCCGGGGACGCGTCCCGGAGCTGTGGGGACACCGAGGCGCTGGGCACGGAGTACGTGGAGGAGGTGAGCGAGCGGGGCTTCTGGGACCCCGAGGCCTGGTGGCAGAGCTCCCAGGGGCTTATCCGGGTTGGCCACGGTGGGTCTGCGGTGGGAGCCGCCACGCCAGCCTGTTCGCCTGCGTGGGGAGAGGGGCGGGGTGGAGGGGGGAGCTCGGCCGGGGGACCGAGACCCCCGTCAGCCCCGCCCCACCCGTCCTCGGGGGCGGCCCTGGGCCCGCGCCAGGGCGGGGCTGGAGCTTGAGGGAGACGCTCGGGGTCCCGCGTGCCCCGCCCCCTCCGGGCCGCAGGTTCCCGGGGGCGGGAAGCTGAGCTGAGCGCTGTCCCCAGGTGAGCAGCGACGAGGGGAGGGCGCCCCGCTTCCGCTGCCAGCTCTGCGAGTGCAGCTTCAACGACCGCCACGCCCGGGACCTGCACCTGAGCGGGCGCCGGCACCGGCTGCAGTACAGGGTGTGTCCGGCAGGGGGCGCCAGAGGCGGGCGGGGGCGGGGAGGCTCTCCCCGGAGCCCCGCCTGGCGCCGAGCGAGCCTGGGGGCGCGCCAGCGGCCTCACGCTCAGTGCCTGGGCACGGCGTGTCCCCTCAGCGCGCTGTCGCCCCACGGTAGGCCCCGAGGGCCGTGGTAGGGGCCGTGAGCACCGTTGCGGTCAGCTGGGCTCCTCTGTGCCCACGAGGAGCCCCCGCCAGCCTCACACCCGCCTGGCTTTCCCTCCGCAGAAGAAAGTGGACCCTAAGCTTCCGGTGGCCGCCCGGCCCAGCGGCCCCATGCAGAGGGTGCTGGCCAAGAGGCTGCAGAGGCAGCGGCAGCTGGCACTAGCACGCCTGGAGGACGCTCGGCGCTGGAGCTCCGAGCTGAGGTGACCACGGGGTCTACTCCTGCCCCACCCTTCAACATCTGGTATCCGCTGCTCTCCCTGTCCCCGTGACCTGATGCCCCACGTCCCCTGACCTCTGATCCCCACATCCCCTGACCCCTGACCTCCCACATCCCCTGACCTCTGATACCCTATGTCTCCTGACCTCTGATCCCCACGTCCCCTGACCCCCATGACCCTTAACCTCTGATCCCCACGTCCCTCGACATCTGAGGTCTCTGTGTCTCCTCCGGCATCACCTTTAGCCCTCTGTGCAGTGATCTGTGCCCTGGGCTGGAGCGCGGCTGCCGGCCGGCTCTGGCCTCAGTGACCGCAGCCCTGTGTCCCGTCTGGTCACCACAGGCAGCAGGAGGAGCACAGCAGACAGTCTGAGGAGCCCCCAGAGCCCCAGGTTGAGGAGCACACACCGGGGCTACCTGCCTGGGCCCTGCCGGCTGATCCTGCCAGGCCAGGGGTGGCTGCCACCCGGCGCCAGGTGGGTGCTGGTGTGTCGAGGAGGACCTTCTCAGCCCCACCTCAGAGGGCCCAGGACCCTGGAGACACCCATCCTGTGGGTCCAGCGGCCATGTCACACCTGCCCAGCCGCAGGCCACCTGCACATCTGCCCCACACTGTGGCTCCAGCAGTGTCTGTCCCCAGGGCCTGAGTAAGGCTGGCCCCTTGCCTGGGGACACGCCCTGCGTGGCTCTCAGCCTCTGGCCTGGAAATGGCCACAGGAAAGCCGCCCCACCCAGACCCAAGCCGCCCAGCTGCTGGCCCCCTGAGGCCGGCCCGGCCCTCCCACACCCTCTGCGGGCCACCCTTGAGGAGGGTGGCTCTCCCCACAGCCGGCGCGCAGGCCAGAGAGCAGTGACGACCGTCACGTCATGTGGAAGCACGCCTCCATCTACCCCACGGAGGAGGAGCTGCAGGCCATCCAGACCGCTGTGTCCCACACAGAGCGCGCCCTCAGGCTGGTGTCGGACACGCTGGCCGAGGAGAGCAGCCAGCAGGGGTCAGTGGCCAGGCCAAAGCTCTGTCCCGGCCCCTCCGTCCCGGATCCCTCCATCCCAGCGCCGCGTGTAAGGCTTGGTAGCTCCAGCACTCAGGGAAGCTGAAACCGGAAGATTGCTGTGGGTGTGCCGCTAGCCTAGGCTACGCAGTGAGCCCTAGGTAGGCAAACAGATCCGTAGGCAGATGGACAGACAGACAGATCGTGGATGGGTAGGTGTCTGGACTCTCCGGGGTCGGCTGGTTGGCTGCGGGCTGGATGTTGGGGTGGCAGCGAGTCTCTTCCCATCCCCCTGCCGGGGAGCTGAGGGGTGCAGCGCCCTGGGGCCCCCCCTCCCACTGACGTGCTCTGTCCCTGTCTCCACAGCGCCCTGACGCCCCCGCCGCCTCGGATGCTCAAGGGTGTGGTGCGGGTTGGCATTCTGGCCAAGGGCCTGGTCCTGCGCGGGGACCACAGCGTGCAGCTCACGCTGCTGTGCTCCGGGAAGCCCACCCGCTCCCTGCTGCAGAGGGTCGAGCAGGAGCTGCCCCGGGAGCTGGCGGTAGGCCCGAGGCTGCAGTCAGGGCGGAAGCGGGGCTGTCAGGGAGGAAGCGGGGCAGTCAAGGCGGAGGCGGGGCAGTCAGGGAGGAGGCGGAGCTGTCAGGGAGGAGGCGGGGCAGTCAGGGCGGAGGCGGGGCAGTCAGGGCGGAGGCGGGGCTGTCAGGGAGGAGGCGGGGCAGTCAAGGCGGAGGCGGGGCACAGTCAGGGAGGAGGCGGGGCAGTCAAGGCGGAGGCGGGGCACAGTCAGGGAGGAGGCGGGGCAGTCAGGGAGGAGGCGGGGCTGCAGTCAGGGCGGAGGCGGAGCTGCAGTCAGGGCGGAGGCGGGGCAGTCAGGGAGGAGGCGGGGCTGCAGTTAGGGAGGAGGCGGGGCACAGTCAGGGAGGAGACAGGACTGGCCAGGGCAGGCTGGAGCCACTCCCCACACAGGCGTCGGGACCTGAGTTCGAATCTCTAGACCCATGTAAAAAGCCGGCCAGCCCATTGGTGTGCCCGCCCGCAGTTCAGCACTGGGGAGGCAGTGGTCTGGGGCAGCCTGGCCAAGCAGGTAGCCGGAGCCTGGGGACCTGGCTCAAAACACGAGGTGGGAGAGCACGAGACACCTGGCCGCAGTCTCCGGCCGGCACGCACAGAGGAGCCAGGTGTGTGCCCACCATCCAGGAGCTGAGGCAGGAGGATGGCAGGTTCTGGTCGGGATCTTCACTGGCTCCGCAGTCCATGGGGAGCCCTCTCCCCTGCAGGGCTCTGGGCTCCATTCCCCGAGCCAGGCACGTATGTGCACGCATACAGACACACATACAGAATGCACATATGGGCACGCACACGCGTGCACATACTCCCACAGGTGTGCGCATACATACATACAGAGGCTCCTCAGCGTCTCCACATGTATGCTGCTCTGGCGGGTGTCCCCGACAGAGGAGTCTGGCATCCTGGCCGCAGGCACATGAGGGCGAACAGTGCCGGCAGCGTCTCCTGCTCGTGGGCACCCACTCTCCGGTGGAGTCATGTGGCTTCGTGTGTTCACACCCAGATAGTGGCGGAGGACAAGTACGAGGTCTCTTCCGACTGTGACGCCAACATCGTGATCTCGGCGTGTGTGGAGCCGGGGGTGAAGGTCACCGTGTCCGCCACCTCACCGCTCATGCGGGAAGAGCCCTCTGTGCAACAAGGTTCACCCCAAAGCCTGGCCCCAGCCTCCAGGGCACAGCAGACATGCTCCAGGGCGGGAAGGCCCTGGGGACAGGTTCCTGGGGGTCACGGGGTCACACGGGGGCACAGAGTCTGGGGAAGCAGAGACAGGGCCTTTGCACGTGGCTGGAAAGTCTGAGCCACACCCGCCTATGCAGTCTGGGGACAGGACCTCTCCTGGCGACCAGGCCCAAGACCCGCAGGGCCATCGCCCACCCCTCAGGCATCAGCGCTATTGCAGGTGCAGCTTGCGGGGTCAGCCCGGGGTCCCGGGGCGAGGAGGCTGAGGGGGACCCTGCTTCGGCCAGGCCGGAGGGGCTGGGGCGCTTCAGGAAGGGACCTGGTGTCCCATTCCTTCTAGGGCCGAGAGACTCCCTGTGTGACCCCGAGGACGTCCTGGACCAGGAGAGGTGCCTGGAGAGCCTGGCGGCCCTCCGCCATGCTAAGTGGTTCCAGGTCAGGGCCCGAGGTAGCCCGGGTGGGGACGGTGGCCAGCCACGGTCCGTCCCGGAGTCCCGCCGACTAGCGCGTCTCCTCCGCAGGCTCGAGCCAGTGGCCTGCAGCCGTGCGTGATTGTCATCAGGGTCCTGCGGGAGCTGCGCCGCTGTCTGCCCGCCTGGGGGGCCCTGCCTGCCTGGGTAAGGCTGCAAGGACGGAGAACGCGGCCTGGCCGGCCCCAAGGGGTGGGTAGAGGGCCCTCCAAATGAGCAGCCGCCTCGGGTCGCCGTCACCTTTGCCCGTCGCCTTAAATCCCCAACCAGCTGGAGGGCGAAGTCCACGCCCTATGCAGACGTCCCACAGAGCGCCTGCGTCAGGGTGGGCAGCCGGGCGTCCACTGTGCCCGGCGTCCCCAGGACCCCGAGCCTGTCCTGGCCACAGACACCTGCCACAGCGTGGCCCCTCGTGCTCCCCCTCCCCCTCCAGGCCACGGAGCTGCTGGTGGAGAAGGTTCTGAGCAGCGCGCCCCGGACCCTGAGCCCGGGCAACGCCATGCGGCGGGTCCTGGAGTATGTGGCCACAGGCGCGCTCCTGGCAGGTCAGTGATGCGGGCAGGAGCTGGGAGGCTAGGGCGTGGGCGGCAGTGGGCACCCACACGCTGGGAACGCGCTTCCTGGCCGACAGCACGGAGGGCGGGGAAAGGCCACCGCCCTCCAGGGACACAACAGGCCCAAGCCGGGCTGCGCCTCAGCCACCCACACCCCTGGCGACAGCATCTGTCGTGGCTGATGCCGCTGGCGCCTGCCTGACCCGAGAGCATTTGAACCTTGACTAGAATTCAGGAGAAGAGCCAGGACTCCGCCTTGACTACAGAGCTACACGGTAGCCTGGGGCTGTAGCTCAGTGGGCAGAGCGCCTGCCTAGTGTCCCTAAAGCCCCTGGGTCCCGTCCCCAGCATAATCCGGGCCTGGTGGCACACACCTGCCACCTCAGCACTAGGGATCCTGAGGCAGGAGAGTCAGGAGTTCAAGGTCAGCCTCTACTACATAAGGACTTTGAGAATAGCCTCAGCTACATAAGGAGTTTGGGGAGAAGATGCCACGGGGGGTGGGGGGTGAGCCGGAGAGACGGCTCTGAGGTAAGAGCGCTGGCTGCTCTTCCCGAGGTCCTGAGTTCAGTTCCCAGCACACACCCACACGGTGTCTCTGGACCATCTACAGTGGGATCTGATGCCCTCTTCTTGTGTGCTGGTATACATGCAGACAGAGCTCTCAAATTAAATAAATAAATCTTAAAAAAAAAAAAAAAAAAGCCAGGCGATGGTGGTGCACGCCTTTAGTCCCTGCACTCGGGAGGCAGAGGCAGGCGGATCTCTGTGAGCTCAAGGCCAGCCTGGTCTACATAGTGAGTCCAGGACAGCCAGGGCTACACAGAGAAACCCTGTCTTGAAAACAAAACAAAACAAGTCCCTTTCGGGCGGGAGTGGCCCTGGAAGGAGTCCCCATCGGGTTCCTGGGGACACGGGTGTCTCTGAGTGGAAGAGGGGGTCTTTCTGTAATCACACAGACTGGGCACACGCACACACATGCACAAAAAGGCGCCCCAGAGGACCCCTGCCCCGCCCCCCGTCCCCGGGGCGGCCCTGTGTACCAAGGCGGGCCTGGCCTGCTGTGGTTGGTGCCGCAGTGTGCCGCGCTCGGAGCAGACTGTGCGGTCGCCCGCCCTGGCAGGGTGGCCCATTGCTTGCACTAGCCCCTCATAAGGGTGTCCACCCTCTCCTGGCTCAGATGGCCCCGGGCTACAGGACCCCTGTGAGAAAGGCCCACAGGACGCCCTGGAGCCCATGACCCCGCAGCAGCGAGAAGACTTGACGGCCAGCGCGCAGGTACCTGGTCCCGCTCCCCTTCCACGGTCGGGCTGCACGGCACAGGCTAGCCGGCCTGGGCCACGGGAGGCCACGGTGCCCGCCCGTCATACACAGAGCCCTGGGCTCCATGCCCAGCGGCAGAGGTAGAAGTGGGAGGGGTCTGAGACCAGCCTGGGCTACATAAGCTCCGGTCTCCAAAGAAGTGTCCAACCACACAGACCCAAGGCCCACACGGTGCCTCTTTCGTGGGAGTCAAGTGTCTGATGAGGAATTCAGGTGGGGTCCCAGGGGCTCCAGACCAACCTGTGCCATCAGCCAGGGTGACATTCCCGAGGCCACATGCCTGGCACCAGAAATTGTAGCAAGCGACAGAACAGGCCGGCTCCCTCGTCCCCGGGCACCGCAGGCCTGAACCACCGGGCCTGGCTAGCGGAGGCTGACGGGACCCCTTGTCCGCAGCGTGCCCTGCGTCTCGTGGCTTTCCGGCAGATTCACAAGGTCCTTCACATGGAACAGTTACCTCCACGGACCAGATTCGGGGCCCGGGCCCGGAAGAGGATGAGGGAGGCTAGTCAGGCCCCGGAGGGCGCCGGGGACAGGAAACAGGGCCGGCAGGGCGCAGTGGGGCTGCCGTGAGCCGCTGTCACCCCCCTCCCCCCCGCCTGCACATCCCAGCCTGCACGTGGGCGCCTCCCGCTGCTCCTCCATCATGGGACATCTCGGCCATCATGCCTGTGGCTTTATTCACAATGCTGGGGGGGGGGCCCTGGCGTGACCCCCATGCCTGTGGCTCTGTCATCCCCTGCCCCCAAACCAGGTCGCAGTAAGCCCCGCTCCGTGGCACTAATTGCTATCTGAAATCCCCTGCTGTCTGAAGAGGCGGGTGGGATCTGAAGCGCTTCCGTGAGGCGAGAGGAGGGCGGCCTGGAGGATTCTAGAAGCCACAGAGCGGGCATTGAGGAGCAGAGGGCACAGAACTGGATACCCCAGACCCCAAGCCTTCTCACAGCAGAACCCTTACTGCGACCCAGCTGTGGGGACACATCTGGGGCCCCTGGATCGCTCACCCCACGTGGAGCCCCGGCCCCAGCCAGAGTGCCTTCCACAGACAGGGCCCACTCTGCCCCACGCCACCCACCTTGAGGGCACAGCTCTTCCCCATTGGGCCTCCCGACCCCCTAGGTAGGACCCTCAGGCTTCAGCCTGCTCCATCCCACTCGTGGCTTTCGAAGACCAGCGCACACCTGGTCTCTACAACCACCCGGCACTCGGCCGGGGCGGGGAATAAAGCGGATCTGCCAGTGTGTGGTGAGGCCTCATGTCCTTCGCTCGGGTGGGAGTGGCCATGCCCACTGATCCTCAGCCTCCCCACGCCAGGCTGCGCCCTGCACGACCCCCACGGGGCATCCCAGCCCCCAGGGAGCACGCTGCTGGGGGCCCTGGAGGAGTGTGGCCTGGAGCACGGGGAGACCCGGGTCCCACGCCTGCCTTCCAGGTTCTCTCCTTCCCAGCCTCCGCCCCCTCCCAGTGAAACCCCGCACCTAAGCGCAGCCTCCCACAGGCCCCTGTCCTGTGGGAGGGCGGAGAGCGGTCCCGTCCCCCCCCCTCCCCCCGCGAGCCACGGCTTCCCGCGCCGGCCACCACCCTGGGCAGACAGGAGACGTCAGCCTGGCGCTGGGTCTAGCTGGCTGCGCGCACATGGGTAACCCAACCAACGGGAAAGCTCTTCCCGGCAGCGCGCAGAGCCCGCGTCTCCGCGGCGGGGGACGGGGGACAGGGGACAGGGCTTCCCAGCTGGGGGACAGAAGGCGGAGACCTTGGTGGCCGGGCTCAGTGATCGCGGGAGAGCGCCCTGGCTCCCCCTCCGCGCCCTGCACTGAGCCCCTCCGCCCAGTCCACCTGAGCCTCCCTGGGAAGGCGGCTGAGTCCACACCAGGTGACAAAGAGTTAAATCGGACCCGCCTAGCAACCCCAAACCACGGAGCTTGGAGCTGCCGCGGAGAGAGCGAAATCCAGCATTTGGTGGGCGCGGAGTCGGGTCCAGATGGAGTCCCGTCTGGGCCCCGCCGCTCGCTGAAGCCGCGAAGAGCCGCAGCGCCTGACCCCCCGGGACAGGGGACACCGTGCGGGCCAGCTGCGGCCAGGGCACCGGGCTGGACCCCAGACCAGGCAGGAAGCCGGGACCGCCGGGGCGCATAGGGCTGGACCAGGGCTGCGGATGCAGGGGAGCGTTGCTAGGAGACAAGGTGAGTGTGGGCGGATGACGCGCGTGTGTGGGCGGGGCCGCAGCCCCGGCAGGACGGGTCCGGAAGACGGCCTCCGCGGCTTGCGCAAGGTCACTGCTGACCTCAGGAGGGGCGAGGGATGACCGCGGTGGCTCGGAGTAGGACCTGGCCAGAGGACCGGTGCTCCTCAGGAGGGGTCCCCGGAACCCCCAGCCCGGGCTCCCCACCCCGTGTTCACTAGCGTTGTGAAAATAAAGTGTCCCGTGGTTGTCACTGGCCAAGGAGACTTCTCCAGGGGGCGAGTGGGCAGCCCCGCGCTGGAATATTACACAGCCGCGGAGGACATTGCCGGCAGCCGCTCCAAGGCCGGTGGCCCCTTGAGGGCACAATGCCAGCGACACGGGCCACACACAGGACACAGGCCGCAGGGTCTGAGTTAGAGCCCCAGGGACAGCAAGTGGGACGGCGAGGGCCCTGGGCAGGGGAAGGGATGGAGGTGGGTGCGCTGGGGACAGCCTCAGTTCCACTCTGTGAGCGGGACGGGGTTAAATGGTCGCTTTCACGTCGCGGGCATTGGGAGAAAATTTTGTGCTGGAGCCGGGAGGCGGTGGTGAAGCACGCCTTTGGTCCACGCTTGGGAGGCGGATCTCTGAGTCTGAGGCCAGCCGAGGCTACAGAGAGGGAGACCCTGTGTCCAAACCAAAAAATTATAAGGGTCTAGGTTTTCCTTATTACCCCACAAATAAAAATAAAGGAAAGAAACTTCAGGATCACAGAGGGGCTGCTGGAGTCTACTGGCCACGCAGACTTAAAATGTGCACGTGTGTGTGTGTGTGTGTGTGTGTGTGTGTGTGTGTGTGTGCGCGCGCGCCCCTCACGAGTGGGTTCCCTCACCCTGTGGAGGGGCCTCCCCAGGCACGCAGCGGGCATGGGTGGGCCGTGACCACATCTCCATCCCCGCTTTTCTCCTGCAGACGTGACGTAGAGGCAGCTCCTCTCGCCAGGTCGCTCTGTGCTTTGCATAGTATGACCAGGAGCCCCGGGTAGACAGTGAAACCCTGTCTCCAAACAGACAAAAAAAGGAGGGCGGAGGGCCGACCGGGCCTCGTGAGCCTGAGGGGTGTTCTCTGGGCAGGAAGCCTCGTCCTTCCCTGCATCTGAGAGTCCCCTAGCACGAGAAGCGCCATGCGGAGCTAAATTTAAAGGCATGTTAATTGGGGCAGGCGGATCTGGCCGCGATGCAGGCTGGAAGGGAGTGGTCTCCATGGAAACCCAGATGCTTGGGTGTCCCCAGTGTCTTGACTGATGGCAGTTAGTCTCGGAGCCTCGGTGTCCCCATCTGCCAAGTGGGCACAGGGAAGCAACAGACTCCGTGACCCCGCTGACAGTAGTGTCACACACCTGTCATCCCGGCACTCGGGATGCTGAGGCAGGAACGTGAGTTCTAGGCTAGCCTGTGCTGTGAGGGAAACTGTCTTAAAGCAGAGTGTCCGGGCATCTTATAGATCCCTTCTTCTGAGACAGTCTCTCCTAGTCCAGGTCATTCCAGACTGCTGAGGCTGACCCGGAAGTCCTGATCCGGCCTCAGATCCCCTTTGCTGGGATGACTGACAGACGCACACCATCACACCTGCAGTATGTGGTGCTGGGGCAGAGCCCAGGCCTTCGTGCGTGCCAGTCGAGTGCTGTGCCCGAGGAGCCTGGCCCCAGCTTCCTTCGGCAGCGTGAACAGCCCCCAACAGCCTCATATGCCCCACATCAAACATCCAGGAGGGACAGGGCTGTGCTCAGCAGGGGTAGGAACTGCCCAGCAGCACGGTTTCCTCTGCTCGGTTTGTGGCCTGGCACGCCTGGTCCAGGCAGGTGTGATGGCAGGTCCTGAGCGTCCTCGGAGCGACAGCTGTAAGGGCCCCGGAAAAGGGATCACACCCCACACGCCCCCACTCAGCGCCTCAAAGATAATCGTGCACAGAGAGAGACACCATTTATGGTGTTTGTTTCAGGAAATGCCCTGCGTATTCTGATCTCTCCCCAAAGGCTTAAAATTGCAAGTATGCCCCTCAGTCCACAGGGACAGTGTCACTTTAACCCATATGCTTCTCAGGTAGCCCAGGCTGGCCTCAAATTGCCTGTGTACCTGGGGCTGGCCCTCACTCCTGACCCTCTGCTTCCACCTCTCCGGCCTGGGACACCGTGTGCCACCCCGAAGAGAGCCCCAGGCCAGGCCTCACTGTGCTATCTGCAGGCAGCAGAATAAACATCCATAGGGGGCTCCCCAGGCGGGTGTCAGCCCGGGTCAGAATGCGGCTGGTCACCGCACAACACTGGGGCCACTGCACGCGGGCATCTGCCTGCAGAGAGGATGCGGAACAGCCACAGCCAGGAGGGAGCCAGCGACTTCAGCAGCTGGGGCAGCGGGAAGGAGCGGAAGCTCAGCCCTGATGGCTTGCAGCCTCCCGGCCTCGCGGGCCAGTGGTAACCGCACCTGCCTGGGCACTGGTGATTGGTGACCTGTGGCTTCTGGGAATGTTGCGTCCGTCAGGGCTGGGCATCGCTGTCCAAACTTGTGCTCTACCATGGAGCACCAGCCTCTTCTGAATTAATTGATTAGGTTTTATTGTCTTTTTTTTTTTTTTTTTTTTTTTTGAGACAGGGCTTCGCTATGTAGCTCTTTATGTGGCCCCGGCTGGCCTCGAACTCGCAGAGCTCCTGCCTCTACTTCCCGAGTGCTTGGAGGAAATTCGACTGCTCCACAGCAGACTGTGGCTGGCATTTCTGAAAGTGTGTGTGTGTGTGTGTGTGTGTGTGTGTGTGTGTGTGTGTGTGTGTGTTTGCCTCCCCAGACCGGGAACTCCTTCCTACTTGCACCTGCGCGTGCTCGAGCTATTATGCGCTCCCAGCTTTCCTGGGGTGGGTGCCGGAAGGCCGGGACCCAGTGGGGACCCGAGAGTACCCGGCATCCAGCACCCGGTACTCAGCACCCAGCCCGGAGGGCGTGGGGGGCGGAGCGGGAGGAGGTGGCAGCGCGGCCCGCAGTGCGGCCGGCGCTAGGACCCGCAGGGGCTCCGAGCCGGGTCCCCTCCATCCTCGCCCCAAAATGAGGAAGCTGAGCAAGTTGCTCCGAGTTGAGCCTCCGGGTGCTGGACCCGCTGGCGGGGACCCTCCCGGAGCTGCGCCCTGAGCAGGTGAGCGCGTGCACGCGGGTGGAGAGGGAACGCCACCCCCCAAAACGGTCCTGGCCCCGGGGGCGCAGGCGCGCCGGGCCGAGCCCGCCCCTCCCCGGGTGCGGGGTGCGCGTCCCCGAATGCGAGCGCCCCGGGGGTCGCTGCGGGCCCGTGTGCGCCCGAGGCACGCGCACGGGGGCACGAGCCTCGGCGGCGCCCGTTCTGCGCACACGCCGGTGCCTGGTGGCACCTGTGCCCGCACGCACGTGTGCGTCTGCCCGCGCGCAGCTGCTGCGCAAACCCCTCTGCGCCCGAGGCCAGGAGCGCACCCCGGCCTCCCGTTCTGCCCCCCCGCCAGCCACGGGTCGGGGCGCCCAGGCAGCCACAGGCAGTGCCCGCCCGGGGTGGGTTGGGTCCTTTCCGGTGTTTCCGCGGTGACCCCTGCTGACCCGACCTGCCGCAGGGAGCCCCGTCCCCCAGGCTCCTCCCCGGGTCGGATTCCCAGGAATGACCTTGAGTCACAGCCCCTGCCCACGGCCCAGGAAAGAGGAAGCTTCAGGCCGCCTCCTCCCCACACACAACCCTGGCTGCCACCCGGGCCATCAGGTCGCTCCACTCTTGCCTCCGGGCCTCAGTTTCCCCTCCCGAGCAATGGCAGGGCGAGGCTCTGGGGTCTCCTGGCTGGCCTTTGGGGAGTCTAAGGACCTCTTTCGGGTAAAGCGTACTTCCCTGAGGCCAAGGGCTGCAGAACAGATGCCACCGCAGCCACCTCAGCCACCGGAGGGAGGGACTGGCCCCGGGGACCCCCGCCCCCCATGACACTGCCTCCTCCACAGGTGAGCCCTCCGTTCCTTCGAGCCTGGCACCCCTCGCCTGCCACAGCTAGGATGCCGACCGTGAGTGTGGGCCGAGTCGGCAGACCTTCCTCAACTGTCCCCTCCGGGGGTTGGGATGGGCCCCCCACGCTGACAGTCCCAAGGGGCCCAACCAGGCTGGCCCCACGTGGCTGTAATTCTGCCTCCCCCTGTGACTTTGTGTCCCTTCTGCCCTGCCGTTCTCTCTCGGTACCCAGGCTTTTACTCTTCTTTATTTTACTTTTAGGACAGGGTCTCACTATGTAGCTATGCCTGGCTTGGAAATCCATTGTAGCCCAGGCTGGCCTCAGACTCACAGCGATCCACTTGTCTCTGCCCACCGAGTGCTGGGATTTCAGGTGTGGGGCCACCGTGCCTGGCTTTACTTTTTAGTTTTGAGAGACTCTTAGGTAGCCCAGGCTATCCTTTAGCTGGTCTGGAATCCTCCTGCCTCAACCACCTAAGCCCTAAGCTACAGGCCTGAGTCTTCACCATCCCCTCGTCCCATCTTCTGTCCCCAGCAGCCCTCAGTCCCTCCATTTTCCACTTGTCCCTGCTGTCCCTGACAGCCCCCTGCCTGTCTCCTCCCCAGCGGCGCTGGGCTCCTGGGACTCAATGTATGACCAAGTGTGAGAACTCACGCCCCAAGCCGGGTGAGCTGGCCTTCCGCAAGGGAGACATGGTGACCATCTTGGAGGCCTGTGAGGTGAGGGGGGGAAGCGGACGGGTAGGTGGGTGAGTTGGGGGCGCCAGGGCGGACAACCACAGGCTCCTCCCCTTCCTGTGCAGGACAAGAGCTGGTACCGCGCCAAGCACCACAGCAGCGGGCAGGAAGGGCTGCTGGCCGCCGCGGCCCTGCGGCCTCGGGAGGCGCTCTCCACAGACCCCAAGCTCAGCCTCATGCCGTGAGTGGCGCCTGAGTGGCGCCGTGCCGGGGCGGGTGGCACCGGGGCCCGGCCGCCTGGCCTGACGGGCCCCTCTCCTCACGCCGCCACACAGCTGGTTCCACGGCAAGATCTCGGGACAGGAAGCCGTGCAGCAGCTGCAGCCCCCGGAGGACGGGCTGTTCCTCGTGCGGGAATCGGCCCGCCACCCCGGGGACTACGTCCTGTGTGTCAGCTTTGGCCGCGACGTCATCCACTACCGCGTGCTGCACCGAGACGGGCACCTGACCATCGACGAGGCCGCGTGCTTCTGTAATCTGATGGACATGGTGGAGGTGACCTGCGGCCAGAGGCCGGGCCGGGAGGGGTGCACGGACGGAGGGAGGTCCCTGCTGGCTGCCCGGGCCCTAGAGCCGGGGTCACCTCTCCAGGGAGCCCTGTCTTGACACCAGCTGCCCCTCACCTTCCATTATTCGCCCCTACTGTTGCCATGGAAACCTGCTCGCCGTGGCACCTGGGGGGTTCTGCCTGCCTCCCTGGGGAGACGGTTGGGGGTGGTGGAAGGGAGGGAGCAGGGGTCCCGACAGCCAGAGCTCACTGCCGCCGCCCCACAGCATTACACCAAGGACAAGGGGGCCATCTGCACCAAGCTGGTCAAGCCAAAGAGGAAGCAGGGTGCCAAGTCGGCGGAGGAGGAGCTTGCAAAGGGTATGGCTGCTGCCAGCGAGGACATCTTCACACATTCCAGGAGCCTGAGCCTCAGTCCTCCCGCCTCCCACCTTCCCAGCCTCCCACCTTCCTGGCTGCCCAGGCCCCATCCCTCAGCCCTCCATTTCCCTGCCTCCTAGCCTCAACCTCTCACCCACAAGCCCCAAGCCCTGGCTTTGTTAAGCCCTGGAGTCCTCCAAGCCTGTGTCTCCCCTTGGGCCTAGAGTCCCAGAGAAAGGCCTGCAGTGGAGAGAGGTCCTGCTTGACTCCTCAGACCCCAAGATTAGAGGGCTTTGTGGGAGGCTTTCAGAGGCAGGTGTAGGGTCTGCGCAGGGAAATAGCATCCCTGGAAGATCCGCCAGGACCCTCCCAGAGGCTGAAGGGGCACAGTGTGGGGGGGGGTCCACACTCCCCACCCTAGAGGGAGATCCTGGAGCCTCGGCTGAAGTCTGGGGAAGCTGTGGACTGTGATGACAGCCTGGGGCAGCCCGGGGCTCTCGGGACTGTAACTGGTACCAGGAGTGGGGTGTGCTCCTTACGGCCTTGGGGCAGGGGCAGCTGCGCGGCAGGCGCAGCGCAGGAGTGCACAGCTGCAGGATGTCAGCTCCCCACAGCTCACTGATGCAGGCTGATTGGCAGAGCGCTGGCTCTGGTCTCCCTCTGATCTGGTCTCTGTCCCTGCAGCTGGCTGGCTACTGGACCTGCAGCACCTGACGCTGGGAGCACAGATCGGAGAGGGGGAGTTTGGAGGTGAGGAGGGGCACAGAAGGCAGTGCTCAGAACTGTCCCTCGAAGCTGGACACTGCGGGCAGGAGTGGGCTCTCAGGTGCCTGGGGAGCAGCCCCACCCTCGGCTCCCAGAATCCTGTGCGGGAGCGAGCTCTACTCAGAATGTCTTCTTTGTATGCAGTATTCTGGGGCTTAGGTTGGGACGGTAAACTGCCCTCAGGCCAGCCTGGCCCATCCCAAGCAGCTGGAAACTATGCAAACATGGGTAGCGTCTGTGGGCTTTTTTATGGAACGGAAATTTGAATCATGAATGAGACAGCCGTCATATTTGCATTAATTATTTATTTCTCTTCTGGGGCCTGGGGATAGAACAAGGCCTTCTGAACGTAGATCCAACACTATATTTAGGCCACGGTCCCAACCCCTCACTGGGAGATTCTCGGCAGGAATATCAGCAGGTGTGCCTGTCTGTCTTGCTGGCAGCTACCGAGCTCTGTCCCCGTCCACAGCTGTCCTGCAGGGCGAGTACCTGGGCCAGAAGGTGGCCGTGAAGAATATCAAGTGTGACGTCACAGCCCAGGCCTTCCTGGATGAGACAGCTGTGATGACGTGAGTGGCTGGGTAGGACCAGATTCTAGGGCTGGGGTCCAGGGCGGGCTCACGTCAGGACCCCCTCTCTCCCAGAAAGCACAGCACAGGAACCTGGTAGACTCCTCGGCGGGGTCCAGGGAATGCTCATGTCAGGAATGCTCATGTCAGGACCCCCTCTCCCCCCGTCAGAAAGCTGCAGCACAGGAACCTGGTGCGACTCCTCGGCGTGATCCTGCACCATGGCTTGTACATTGTCATGGAGCATGTGAGCAAGGTGTGTGGGGTGGCAGCTGGGTGGCCGGGCAGGGGTGGCCCAGCAGCCTGGAGACCCCCAGGTCCCTCCCCTCAAACAGGGCAACCTGGTGAACTTCCTGCGCACTCGGGGCCGCGCGCTCGTGAGTACCTCCCAGCTCCTGCACTTTTCTCTGTAAGTGGCATTCCTCCCAGGAAGGTAGGTCCCCAGTTGAAGGGGAAACTGAGGCCCGACGGCAGGGTGACCGGGCGTTGTCCGTTCCTAGGCACGTTGCCGAGGGCATGGAGTATCTGGAGAGCAAGAAGCTGGTACACCGGGACCTGGCTGCCCGCAACATCCTGGTCTCTGAGGACCTCGTGGCCAAGGTCAGTGACTTCGGCCTAGCGAAGGCCGAGCGGAAGGGGCTGGACTCAAGCCGGCTGCCAGTCAAGTGGACAGCACCCGAGGCTCTCAAGAATGGGGTGAGTGGCCCTGCCACCGGGGCTTGACGTTCTGTGCTGTGTGGCCCTATGCGCTCTGTGCTTCCAGGGAAAATGGCTGCCTCTCCAGTGAGCCCCACACATTTGTTGGCCCTTCCCTGGGTCTCAGCCTCCCCATCTCTGAAGCAGACATGGCTTAGTGTGGAGGGGAGGAGCAGCCCTGGACTGACTCTCCTCACCCTGACCTCTGCCCAACAGCGGTTCTCCAGCAAGTCGGACGTCTGGAGTTTTGGGGTACTGCTGTGGGAAGTCTTCTCATATGGAAGAGCCCCATACCCGAAGATGGTGAGCAGAGGCCTGGGGAGGGGCGGCCTGTGGCTGACCGCCCCCGCCCACGCTCCGCCCTGTGTCTGCAGTCGCTAAAGGAGGTGTCCGAGGCTGTGGAGAAGGGTTACCGCATGGAGCCGCCTGATGGCTGCCCGGGCCCGGTGCACGCCCTCATGGGCGGCTGCTGGGAGGCAGAGCCCGCGCGCAGACCTTCCTTCCGCAAAATAGCCGAGAAGCTGGGACGAGAGCTCCGCAGTGCTGGCCTCACAGCTCCCACTGGGGGACAGGAGGCTGAGGGCTCAGCCCCCCCACGGAGCCAGGACACCTGACCCCCCAAGGGTGGAGCAAAGGACTGAGGTGCAGAGGGCCAGGCCAGGCCAGCGCACAGGCTCCGCTGCCCCTGGAACCCCCACACCCAGGGCACCCCATAAAGAGTGATTGGAAGGACTTTGTACAGTGTCTCTTCGACGCCCGTGGTCCTCCTGGGTGGGGAGAGGCCTGCACAGTCAGCTCCATGCTGCAGCGGCCATGCCCGGCCCCACGAGCCTCTGAGCCCATCTGATTCTTGATGGCTGTGATGCTCGGAGCCCCTGCCCTCCCCCCCCACCCCCCCGCATGGGCGGACCTCAGGCTGCCCTGGAGCACCTGCCTCGCCAGCCTGTGAGGACACGGCCCCTGCGAGCAGCCAGGCTGGAGACCCACTGGCCATCAGCCCTTAGGGCCTACCTCAACACCGGCTGGGGAGGGAGCCTGAGTACAGAAGCCTAGGGTCACCCCACAGGCGAGGGTGCTGAGCCAGGGCACTCAGATCACGTCCCATTCGGGGTGAGAGTATGGGGTATCTGTATCGCAGAAGGGGCAGAGATGCCAGGACAGAAGACCTCTTGCCCAAAGAGAAGGTGGCAGGGTGCAGAGGGGAGCCAGCCTTTGGAAACCAAGGCCAGGGTGGTTTTCTTTGTTGGTACCCAGGACGCCAAGCTGGGGGTCAAAGCTGACAACATCATTGACAGCATGGCACACACAGGATGCTGTCTGGCCTCACATGCCACCTATCACCTGACCCATCCCTGGCCACCAGCCACCCACCCACCACCCATCTCTCGGCGATCCTACCCACCCATCCGATACTCATCCACCCTCCAATCACCGCCCCTCCACCTGTCTACCCACCATCCTATCCATACAACCACCCCATCAATCCATCTAACCCATCACTCAACCCACAGACCACCCCCCATTCACAAGACCACTCCTCCACCCAGCCAACCAACCACCCAGTCATCCATCCATTAACTCACCCACACAACCTCCCCACCCATTTATCCCCCCCCCCACCCCCCCCCCCCCCCCCCCCCGACTAACCTCCCCATCCACCACCCTGTCCCAATGGCCCATTTCCAGGGGCAGCACATGGCCACCACTGGGCGCCGCTGCCAAGCAGTGAGGGAGACAATTTCTCTTAAACTCAGTGGCTGTAATCTTCACACAGATGCACGTTCCATGGGAGAGCCGCAGTGCCCACCGTGGCGTGGGCTGGGGCTGCCATGCTGACAGGATGAGTGGAAGGAGCGTGGGTGGTCCAGGCAGAGAGCACAGCCGGGGAGAAGGCCCGGGCTGGAGAGCGGCCCCTGGAGCCGGGGCAGGTGGGGGTCAGCTAACACTCTTGGTTCTACTCTCACTTTGGAATGTCCTGGGGAAGCACAGGGAGCCATGGGGCATCAGGAGTAAGGCGAATCCTTGCCCCTCTGCCTGCTGGGCAACAGCACGGGGGCTAGCACCCAGAAAGGGCTCCAGATGCCTGCTGTATGGATGGAGCCTCAGGTCCCTCAGTGAGGCACAGGTCACCAGGACCACCCAGTGGGCCCCAGGCCAGGTGTCCCTGCCACCTGGGCATCTACATGACCCACGGCCCCAACAGCACAGTCTCACCCATTCTCTTGGGCCATCTGGACTCAGGCCACATGCCCAGGCCAGGCTGGCTCATGATCCAGATGGCAAAGACAGGCTCAGGCCCTGGGTCCGATAAACAACAATCGGGCCACCCCCGTCCCAGACAGAAGGAAACGGCAGGCAGGCCTGGGCCTAACTCCCTTGGTAAGCAGGAGTATGCAGCTCGCCTGGGGTCCACAACACCTGTCCATAAGCAACCCCTGCCCGACCAGGTCAAGTCACAGGCCTTCCTTAACTGAGGCACCCGGGCCTAGCCTGCTCAAAGGCCTGGACGACCAGCCCAGGAGAGCCTGCCCATGAGGTGTCCTAGACAGCACGGCCAGCTAGCAGAGGCTCGGCCACTCCATCTCCAGAGCCAGGGGCCTCCCAGGTGTGGCACCACAGGGCAGCATGCGCCTTTATTTACTCCTTTATTTTCATATTTATTCAGGGTGCGCATGGGTGTCTGCGTGTGGCCTGCACTCGCCATAGTGAGCATGTGAGGGTCAGAGGTCAAGTTATAGGTCAGCGCTCTCCTTCCCCCACTCCAGTTCTGGGGACTGAACTCAGGACTTCCAGCTTGGCAGCATGGCCCTTTCTCCACCAAGCCCTCTCGCCGGGCCCCGGCCCCGGCAGTTTCCAGTGAGACATCCCATCCTCACTACAGCTTCTTGTTCTTGCTCAGACGGTTGTGACGCCAGATGTTCTGTTTGCGCAACAGTCGCCAGTACTCTCGGGACTCTGGTTCGAGTTCCTCCAGCTTTTTGGGGGGACCCAAATTTACCTGGAACAGCCTGGGGGTGGGGAAGTCAAGGTTGCAAGGCCACTCCTGAGCTCCAGGCAACATCCAGCTGGGGCTCTGAACCCTGAGTCCTGGGTCTCAGGGAGGAGGATGGGCCTAAGGACCCTGGCCTACTTCCAGTACCGCTCTGCCCCTTGACCCCTCTGTTCCAGCCACAAAAGCCTCTTTCCAGCTCCCACAGAATGGGCTCTGTCCTGCACAGGCCATGCCCTGGGCCCTGGCTTCCTGTAGCCTCCTCAGGAAACACTCACTGCAGCCTCACTGATCAGCCAGCCTTCATCCCATTGGCCCTGGCTCCCCCAGTGTCCTGGGAATGTGGCCTACCACACCTGCCTGCTCAGCTAACTGTCTGGTTCTGAGCTTGCTCCAAAAAGGGGACACTTCCACTGGGAAGCGGTCCTGGAGTATCCTGTCACTCCAGGCTGGGTGGCCGGGCCCAATGCGGTGCAGCCACACTCACCACTCAGGGTACTCGGAGTCTGGCTTCAGGGCCACGTCCTCGCCTTCTTTGTAGATGTTGACCCCCATGGCGTGAGTGGTGAGCCGCTCGGGGTCTGTGCACACCTCGGGGTCCTTCAGTGCCTCAGTGGCCACGAAGCCCTTGCCACCCTTGCCCTTGATGGCTGCACAGTGAAAGCTCAAGTCACGTCAGCCTGCCCAGCTCTGGGCCCCTCCTGGCCTCCAGGCCCCGGCAACCCCAGCCATTCCCATGTATAATGGGATCCCTTGTGGCCACGGCACAGACCCTCCCAATAACACTCACCCCCCCCACACAGTGATGGTGGCATGGTGGCATGGTGGCTCAGGCCTGTCATCCCTGCATTCTGGAGCTGAGGTGGGGTGTATGTGTGGGGGGTGGGGTCATAAGACTGTCTCAAAAAAAAAAAAAACCCAAACAAAACAACAACAACAAAAAAACAAACAAAAAACTAAAACCGAGACTAGAGAGATGGCTCAGCAGCCCTAGGCCAACCTGCCATGAGACTTCTGGGTCTTATTTAACTCTCCTGGAACAACACCAAAAAATACAAAATATTTTTAAAAAAAATATTTTTTTTTTAAGATGGGTTCTTCCTGGCAGGCCCGGAACTCAAAGCGATCCCCCTGCCTCTCCACCCCGAGTGCCGGGATTAAAGGCATATGCGGTCATGTTTACCTTCAAACATAATGTTTAAAAAGTGAACCTGTGGGGTGGGCACTGTCAGCGTGTGTGGAACCAACCATCACCTTCCCCCGTTTACGCGGGTGCTGAGGAGCGAACTCGGGCTTTCGCAGCAGGCGCTCTACACACTGAACCAACCTGCCCACCTACAGTTTTCTTCCTGAGACAGGGTTTCTCTGCGTAGCCTTGACTGTCCTGGACTCGCTTTACCAGAACTCACTGAACTCACGGGGATCTTCCTGCCTTGAGTGCTGGGATTACAGGCGTGCACCACCAGGCCCGGCTCCCCCACATTTTTAAAAATTAAAATAAGAACAGTAACTTACCGTCGCTGTTAGGTAATTCACTCAAAGTTCGACCGAGGCGCCCCGCCCCACTCTACGGTCCCAGGGATCGCGCCTGCGCACTGAGCACCATGGCAAGGGGCGAGCGACGGAGGCGGCGCCACTGGCCTCCTACTTAAGACTAGGACCCGGTGTTTCTGCGCCTGCGCAGTTCGCCCTCACAGCCCCGCCTCCCCACACAGCGCGCCTGCGCGCCAAGCGTTCTCCCGTCCCTCCCGCCGTGCCCATGTTGGTTTCTCCGGAGCCAGCTCACCTGGCTTCTTGGCGTATTCCCGGATAAAGAGTTCTCCAGGTCTCTCGGGGACCGGGAGCGCCCGGAGCCGCCAGCCGGCCCACATCCGGGAAGCCCGGAGGAGGCGAATGGCCGCCATGACACTCGCCGGCCGCTCGCACGTGCACGCTTCCGGCTTACGTCAGTGCTCCCAGGGCCGCTTTAGGTTGTTGGAGGCGCCCGCGGCCTTCTGGGAAATGTAGTCTTTGCTTCGGCCCGCTAGGGACTAGTTAGAACTTAGGTAGTTATCGCCTGCTCAAAGAATATTTCATAAAATTCTTGCCCTTAGATCCTTATGTACTTAAAATGTCAGAATAAGTTTATGCCTGCATCCATTTGGACTTTTTAATTAATGAATTAATTACAGTTTATTCACTTTGTATCCCAGCTGTAGCCCCCCCTCGTCCCCTCACAATCCCGCCCTCCCTCTTCTCCTATGCCCCTCCATGCGGAAATTTTGAAAGCTTCAAAGGAGAGTCGGTTGCTATGTGAAGTGGTTCAGGGTTGCTGTCGGCTGCTGAGGTCACCGTGGCTTACATGTATGTGCGGCCAGAGGTGGTGAACTCCAGTTTAACACACTCGGGAGGCAGAAGCGGGCAGTCCCCTCTGCTCAGCCCAGCCTACATGGTGAGACCATATTCCTGATATGGAAAGTGGGGTGGTGGGCTGGAGAGACGGCTCAGGGGTTGAGAGTGCTGGCGGCTCTTCCAGCAACCACATGGTGGCTCACAACCATCTAAAATGAAATCTGGTGCCCTCTTCTGGAGTGCAGGTGTTCATGCAAATACACATTGTATACATAATAAATGAAGAAATCTTAAAACAAAAAAGAAAAGAAAATGGGGGTGGTGACTGAGGCTCTGTAAGCAGCCTGGGTTCTACTCCCAGCACCACAGACACGGAGGCTGGCAGCACTCAAGAGGCTGTGTCAGGAGGATCAGCCTAGGCCTCAAGAGACTCTTACTAGAATCTTCTAGAGCCATTGCAACAAACGCTAACTGGCTGGCCTGTTTCAGAGCACACAGATCAGCTTAGGGACTATTATCGGTCTGAGTCTGTAACAAGGACCGTGACGTAAATTCTGCTGTCGATCCAAATCTAGAGTGTGCCATATTATATTCCTGCCGGGACCCAAAACGGAAGTTTGTCTACAACTCCCACACTTTGTCTTTTGTCTCCAAATCTTTAAGTTACGTTTCTTCCCATGTCCCAACTCAGCGGTTTGCGCCCGGAAGTGATGCAGAATCCAATTTTAGAATAGAAAAGCAAGTTTGGGTCTCGGGACTCGAACACGTGTTTTGCTATCTGCCATACAACCCGAGAGGTTGCGAGGACTACATTTCCCAGCAGGCCTGGTGACAGTACGCATGCGCGTTAGACATGGGTGGTGCACAGACCGGTCATCAGGCTTTAAAGCTGGGATCCCAGAGAGCTGCTGAATCTCCTGGAAGGACAAGCAGTCCGAGGCGTCCCCGCCTGGGAGGGAAGCACAGGTATTCCAGGCCGCGAGGGACCGGACGGGCTCTCGTGGGCTCGGGTGTCCCCTGGGGCGACCCGAGGCCGGAGCGTGAGTTCTGAGACTGGAATCTTGAGTTCTGGGGCCGAAGCCTGAGCTATGAGTGTCAGTGTCTGAGTTTCAAGGGTCAGTGCCTGAATTCTGGGGCTCGGAGCTCGAGTTCCGAGGGTCAGCGCCTGAGTTGTCGGGCCAAGCCTGAGCTCTAGGGTCCGGAGCCTGAGTTCCCAGCGGCAGTGCCTGAAATCTGGGGGTGCAGCCTGAGTTTTGGGGCCTGTAGCCTAAGTTCTAGAGGCGGGAGCCTGAGTTTCCAGGGTCAGTGCCTGAATTCTCGGGGCGGAGCCTCAGTCCTGAGGTCACTGTCTGAGTTGTGAGGGTCGGTGCCTGAGTTCTGGGGTCCAGAGCCTGGGATCTGGGCCAGGTGCCTGAGTTCTCATCCTGCACCTGTGTGAAATGGGGTCCTTTCCTGCTGTGCAGGCCCACGGGGATGGAACCTGTCACCTGTAGGACCATGGCTTGCCTAAGAGATCCGCAGCCAGAGCCCTGGTCGTCCAGCCTGGTGAGCATGCCGGCCTAACCTGGATCCCCAGGCATGGAGTTCCTGCCAGTCCCCCAGCCTCCCCCAGGGCCCCCAGCCATGGACTTGGAGGAGCCCAAAGGCTCTGAGGCATCCTCTGAGGGCCACCCCTCTAGCCAGTGGGCCTCAGGGCCTGGAGGCCCTGTCACCCTGAGCGAGATGGAGCTGGATGCATCAGCTGTAGGGGAGCTGGTCCAGCAGCTGGAAGCTCTGCCAGGAGACCTGGGCGGCCCGTTCCCAGACGGAACCCCTTGTCCCCTGCACATTGCCACTGGCCAAGGCCTGGCCACCCAGGAGAGCTCGGATGCTGGTGGACTCCTGTCGGCCGATGCTGGCGGAGACGACCTTCTGGGTCTGCTGAGGTGCGAGGCGTCGCCTGCCCAGCCAGGTCCCCCAGATCCTCCACAGACCGCACCACGCCTGCTGCAGCCGCCCGAGGACCCAGATGGAGACCCAGGGTCTGTGGGGTGGATGGAGGGGACGTCCGCAGAGCCAGCAGACAGCAGGAGTTCAAGCAGCTCTCCGGAGCCCTGGCTGGAGACCTCACCCTTGGTGACACAGCGGGAGCCACCTGTGGCCACCCAGGTAACAGCACCAGCCCTTTCTCATCCCTGACCTCTGATCCCCGTGGCCAGCACTGCCTGGGGACTAAGCTCTCCCCCTCTATCTTCCAGAACCCCGAGACCCTGGCCTCATGCCCTGCTGTCTCTGAGGGTGAGTGTCCATTGTCTGTCACACAGGGACCAGAATTTTCCACAGCAGCCCAGAACTAGACTCTCAAATTAAATGCAGAGTTTGCCAGTGACGATGACGGTCTAGAGAGGACCGGATGAGTTTAAGCAGAGAGGTGACATAAGCTGGAGAATAGTCTGGAATCGTGGTAGATGCCACGACCTATCTCAGGAGTGCAGAGGTCACAGGGCCTGCGGAAGTAAGGGAGTTGTACAACCGTAGAAGGAATAGGGTCCTACCCAGAAGGGTTTGAGCCCCCGGTGTCAGCCTCAGGGTGACCTGAAGGTACCACACAGGAAGCTGAGGCAGGAGGATGGCAGGTTCACAGGAGCTTTGGCTCCACAGTCCAGGGTTAAAAAGAAGCAGTAACAACCCAGATAATCGGGGGTTATGGGGAAGGGTCAGGCTCTAGAATCATGGGTAGAATTGCTTGAAGGCTGTGGAGGACCCAGGCTGTGGGATGTGGGCTGGCCGGGGAGAATTCTAGATCGTCGTGGAAAGTGGCCTCAGGCCTCTCGTGTCTCACTTTTTGCATGTATTAGAGAAGGGAGTCAACTTATGGGAGTCAGTTCTCTTCAACCACCCTGTGGGGTCTGTGGGGTCCCGATGTTGTTGTGCTTTGCTGCAAATGTCTTTACCCACTGAGCCATCTTCCCGGCCCTGCCCAGTTTTGAATGTTCGGGGTTCGAGACACCACGGCGAGGCCCTGAGCTTCTAGCCTGGTCAGAAGATTCTGGAAGAGGGGTCTCTGAGCCCTGGGTCCATTCCCACCGAGAGTGCTCTCAAAGTAGGGGTGGCACTTGCCAGGAGCCCTGGGAGTGGCCTGCACAGAGCTGGCCACGGTACAGCGGCCCGAGCCCTGTGGCTTCTTTTAGAAACGGTGATGGAGTGCTCGGGTTTCAAGTGCTTTATAGGACAGAACCACAAGTTTCATGAGCAGCAGTTGAGGATTGGGACCCCAAGGCTCTCGGGGAACCCCATGAGGGGCCTGGCTGCATCTCTTGAGGTCCCCTGCAGTTCCAGGTCCCTGTGGACACGAGGACCTCATGGATGGCGTCATCTTTGGGGCAAAATACCTGGGTTCTACCCAACTGCTGTCGGAGCGCAGCCCGCCGCCCAGCACACGCATGGCGCAGGCGCAGGAGGCTGTGGACCGGGTCAAGGTGAGCTAGGGTGGGGTTCTCAGGCCGAAGGGTGCGGTTTCTCCACAAGCACGAACCCCCACGTGTCCCCCCTGCCTTCCCCACAGGCCCCTGAAGGTGAGACGCAGCCCATGGCTGAGGTGGACATCTTTATCTCCACCAAGCGGGTCAAGGTGCTGGCCGCTGACTCCCAGGTACCCGGAGGGCCGGGCCTTGGCTGTCGTAGACGCTTGGGGTCCCTGAGAGGCCCCCAGCCCACCGAGCTCGTGTCCACAGGATGCCCTGATGGACCACGCCCTGCAGACCATCTCCTACATTGCGGACATCGGGCCTGTGCTGGTCGTGATGGCCCGGAGACGGCTGGCCAGGAAGACCAGGCCCCAGGACGGCAGGCGCCTCTATAAGATGCTGTGCCATGTCTTCCACTCGGAGGATGTAAGCAGGCCGGCACAGGCGCGCCCGCCCAGGCTGGAGGGCCTGACTTAGAAAGCCTGAGGAGGTGTGGGCATGGGAGGCCTTGTGTAGGAACACGCTCTTCTCCCACAGGCCCAGCTCATTGCACAGGCCATTGGCCAGGCCTTCGGCATCGCCTACAGCCAGTTCCTGCAGGAGCACGGGATCGACCCCAGCCAGGTGGGCACGCGGCCCTCGGCGGCCGCCAGCCATCCGCACAACGGTGACCTGGACCACTTCTGCAACAGCCAGAACTGCAGGGAGGTGGGTGCTTGTTCCGCCCCAGCGCCCACAGGCCGGCCCGCCAGCCCCTGCCGTGGGCCCACCTTGCCCACTGAGGCTCCACCCGCGCTGCCCCTGCCGGAGCCCCGTCCCACGCCCCCCCTGAACGCTGGCCTGCCCCCAGGTCTACATCCAGAAGCGGCCTGGCGAGGGTCTGGGCGTCGCCCTGGTTGAGTCCGGTTGGGGCTCGCTGCTGCCCACGGCAGTCATCGCCAACCTGCTCCACGGGGGCCCTGCCGAGCGCTGTGGGGCCCTGAGCATCGGGGACCGCGTCACCGCCATCAACGGAACCAGCCTGGTGGGGCTGTCGCTGGCCGCCTGTCAGGCGGCAGTGCGTGTGAGTCGGGGCTCCGCAGCGCCCGGGGAGTTGACGGGTGGGTAAACTGAGGCCCGCGGAGGCCTGAGCTGTGCGGCGGCTCCCTCAGGAGGTGCGGCGACACTCATCCGTGACACTGAGCATCATCCACTGCCCGCCTGTCACCACGGCAGTCATCCACCGGCCCCACGTTCGAGAGCAGCTGGGCTTCTGTGTGGAGGATGGCATCGTGAGGCCAGGATGCCCCGGCCGGGTGTGGGGTGGAGGCTAGCCCACAGCCTAGGGCCTGGTCCTGAGCACTGTCCCTCTCAGATCTGCAGCCTGCTTCGCGGGGGCGCAGCCGAGTGCGGGGGCGTCCGCGTGGGACACCGCATCATCGAGGTCAATGGGCAGAGCGTGGTGGCCATGCCCCACGAGCGCATCATCCAGATGCTCACAGAGGCGCAGGAGGTACGCATGGGCCCCCGACCCCTCACCCCGTCCCCCGACCTCCTGCCTGACCCCTCACCTCTGACCCCTAGGTCCACATCAAGACCATGCCAGCTGCCACCTACAGGCTGCTCACTGGGCAGGAACAGCCAGTGTATCTGTGACTGCCCCGTCCACACGTGCCTTCATCCCCGTCACCTTCAGCCCTCGACCCATGGGGACCCCGGAGTCCTCAGCCTTGTATTATTTTATAATGTAAAATAATAATAATAATAATAAATTAAAGGTTTATTAAATGATCAGAAACTCTGGGTCGTATAGGGGAGACTGAGGCTCCAGGGAGCCAGAGGTAACCTCAGGGGTCACAGGTCACAGGTCGGTGGCTGGGCCCCAGTCATAGCCGTCGTCATCAGAGGATTCGACATCCCGGGCTCTCGTGAACTTCTTCCTCAGGGCCTCGCGCTCGTAGGTCCTGGGGGCAGGAGTTGGGAGCGGGGGCTGCAGGGGGCGGGCACGTGACCTCACCCCCCACCCCGACAAGGCTCCCATCAGGCAGTGTGGACACGAGGAGGAGCAAGGCTGAGTAACTGTTGGGTGGGAATTGGGCTGGCCCCGTGGGCGCCGTCTCCAGCCGCGGCCCTCACCGTCACTTACCGCATGCTGTCCTGGCGCCACTGGTGCCGGGGGTGGTGGCCGTCGGCCTGGAGGGAAGAGGAGAAAGGCCGTGACCCCGGTTGACGTGCTTTAGGGAGGGGGAGGGGCGCCACCTCTGTCCACTCGCCCACCTGCGCCTCCCACTCGGCCGCGACCATCCCGGGACTCCTCAGCGCCTGGGGGTCATCCGCCCACGTGGGCTCCGAGGAGCGGGCCAGGGCCTGGGGTATGGCTTCCGCTTCCTGGGGTCCACCCCCCTCGCCGTCCGTGTAGACACCGCCCTCGCCGTCCGTGTCCTCGTAGTCGCTGTTGGCCCGACTGTCACAGCTGAGGTCCCCGGAGCTGGCGGCCAGGCCACGGCCAGGCAGGTCAAGGTCCTCGGAAGAGCCATCCAGCTGCGGGGACATAAAGGCTGTGAGCCCGGGGAGCCAGGGCTGCTCAGTGCCCTCATCCCCCTGGAGGTCCAGCCTCGAACCTAGTGCTCCCGCAGTCAAGATCAAGCCTCGGATCTGAGCCCAAGGCCCCCTCTCCCTGCCCCCCTCACCTGGTCCTCCGCCGTCCAGATGGGTCGCGCCTGCTGCTCCTGCACCACAGCCTTGACCTCCTGGTACCAGGAGTCCCCGGTGCCTTGCAGGGGGATGACGGCTGCGAGGACGGGGCGGTGTCAGCGGGCAGGATCTGCGGCCTGGCGGCCCCCACCCCACCCTGCGCACCCGTGCGCCAGCCCCCCATCCCCACCCCGCGCACCCGTGAAGAGGTGGCTGCTGTGTTTCCGGAGCTGCTGGGCCTGCGCGTATAGGCGCCGGCTGCTGCGGCGGGAGGCGGGGGCCAGCCACTCGCGCAGGGCCTTGAGGGAGGGCCGGCTCTCGGGGGCGCAGAAGATGACTATGGGGTAGTACTGCACGTAGTTGAGGCGCTCGATGGCGGAGGGGGTGACGTCCAGCAGCGCGTGCCTGTCCTGGGCCGCGGGGGCGGGGTGCAGACGGTGAAGCGTCTGCCGGCTCAGCGGGCCCTGCCGCCGCGGATTGGGGTCTGATCCTGCAGCTCATCTATAGGCCAGATCTGCGGGAGCCCCAGGAATCCCGCTGCCTCCGCACCCCACCTGTTCCCCCCGCGTCCTTGGAGCTGAGATAGCAAGTATGCTCCTCCAGGGCATACTTTGTACATGGGTTCCGGGGATTTGAACTCTGGGCCTCGTGCTCGCGAGGCCGAGCAGCCTTCACAGCCCCTCACTGGTTTTGTGACTTTCTTATTTTTTTAAAATGTGTGTTTCTATCTCACAGCTTAGCCTAAGACTCATGACATCCTCCTGCTTCAGCCTCTGGAGTGGGGACCTGAGGCCTTTGTCCTGCAAAGGCCATGGCTCCTCAGAGGTGACTCCTGTGAAGCAGAGACACTGAACCCAGGGCCTCAGTTTCCCAGTCCCCCCCCACCCCGTGCTCACCCTCTCTGCGATCACCCGCACGGTGTCCAGTTTGATGATCTTGGATGGGTTGTCAGTCCGGGACACACTTTCTGAGGAGGGGCATCATCCACGGTGACCCCTGTGCAGCCCTCCCCCATCACACACCTCTCCAGCCCCGTCCAGCCGCTCTGTGGCTGCAGGGGCCGCCCGCGCCGGACCCTGCGCTGTGTCCTTCCTGTTTCTAGCTGAGCGAGGTTCCACTGCAGGGCTTGGGGAGGGGGGGCTGCCCGAAGCCCACAAGGGCCCACTTTCCCAGCACCCGAGCGCCTGGTGAGGCGGCCCTGCCTTTGCCCTGTGAGCCCCACCCAGCCTCCTCCTCCTCCTCCAGCCTCCTGAGTATCCTGAAACCTGTCAGAGCCGGTTTCTGTGTGAGACACACCTGACCCACAGCCCTCTCCTGCTCCCCAGAACCCCGGAGTCACACACACACACACAACACACACACACCACTAACCCCTCAGCCCGAGGCCTGTGGGCGGGGCTCGCTTTCCCCTTTAATATTTTTAAGATGAAGTTTGATGTAGCCCAGGCTGGCCTCCAACTCTGTAGGTAGGCAGAGCTGACCTTGGGCTCCTGATTGCCCTGCCTCCATCTGGTCAGTCAGCCTGGCTTATTCTGAGGTGGACCCTTGATTTGAATACAAGGTTTCACTAAGTGGACCAGGTTGCCCTGAAACCTGCCGTCATCCTGTCTCAGCCTTCAACAGCAGGGATCACCGGTGAGATAAAACAAAAAATCAAACAGACAAAAAAGCCAAGCAGCTCTTCAGCACACGACAAAGCCACCAGGTCCTGCGCTGAGGATCCTCAGGGCCCAGATGGATTTCGGATGTCTGGCCTGGGCACAGGTGTGGTAGTTGGGGGGACACCCCATGTTATGGTGGCTCTAAGCTCCCCCAGCTGCCAGGACTCCACGTCTCACCTGCAATTTCAAACTGGTCTGGCATCTCTGCGGTCAGCCTCTTCATGGCGATGTCCGCTACTGGCCCCAGGATCACCACAGGGCGCTTAAAGCTGGCTGGAGAGTGGAGAAGGTGGCAAGGTCGGGCTCTGGGGTCAGGGCGCTCACTCGCCAGGCAAGTGGGACACGCCCAGCAAAGGCAGGACTGCTGGGAGTTCAAGGCCAGCAGAAGGAGGAAGTTCTGTCTTGGTTTTGATCCTGGAAGCTGAAGCCATGCTTCATCTGGCCCTTGGCTTAATTTTATAAATAAAGCTTTATTGAACACACTCTATCCACCTGCTGATTCTGCAGCAGACTGAGCAGAGCTGAGCCGAGAGCGTTCATTTCCCATTAAAATTTGTTTTTAGTCTTTTATTTTTTAAAAGGATTTATTTAGTGGGGAATCCTGCAATCCCAGCACTCGGGGAGGCAGAGGCTGGTGGATCACAGTGAGTTCGAGGCCAGCCTGGTCTACAAAGTGAGTCTAGGGTGACGAAGGCTCCAAAGAGAACGCTGTCTCAATAAAGCAAAACCAAAACAAAATATTTTCTGTATGAGTACACTATCTGCATGTACACCTGCAGGCCAGTAGAGGGCACCAGACCAGACCCCATTACAGGGACCTCTGGGAATGCAGACAGTGCTCTCAGCCACCACACAATCTCTCCAGCCCCTGTAGTCATTTATTTTGAGGCAGGGTCTCACTTGCAGTCCTGGAAATCTCCATGCAGACAAGGCTGGCCTCACACTCAGAGAAATCTCCTTGCCTCAACCTCCCGAGTGCTGGGATGACAGGCTTGTGCCACTCACAGTAAGGAGGGCATCTGGGGGAAAGCAGGCAATGGCCTTGCGCCTCTGTGACCTCGGGAGGCGGGTCCGGCCTCAGCCCACGCGTCATCTCCCTTACTCCCCCCCTCCGTGCCCACAGCCACCCACCTTCTCGGAGCACCACGCGCTCGTAGGGTGGATAGTGTCCCTGCCTAGTCAGTACCGACAGGTCCTCACGGCTACGTTGTGTCGTCTTCTTGGCCCCTCTGCGGAGACCCCGGAGCCGCCAGAACTCCGCCCGTGGGTTGGAGCCTGAGGAGGTACCCGGCACCAAGCCCGCAGCGCGCTGCGCGGCCTCCAGGCTGGCCAGCTGCTCGGCTCTGGGGAGCACAGGGACATGAGACACAGAACGCTGCCCCAAACTGGCTAAAGGGTGGAGGGGGTTCAGGCTGAGGACCCTGAACTGGGAACGCCGTGGATCATCCGGGACCCAGTGGTACTCGGAGGGTGGCGGGAGGGGAAAAGGCCGCACCGGGCTCTAAAGAGACAGGACAGGCCATGAGCCAGGGGCTGTGGGGCCTCTGGATGCAGGATGGATCAGCTACTAGGACAGAAGATGAATGAATGAGAAGAAGCCACGGCATTGTGCATGGTAATCACGGCGGCCGCAGGACATCTCCCTGGCCCTTCGGTGTCCCAGCCACCACAGTGAGCCCTCAGCAACGGGAACACGGAGCCTGAGGGTGCCCACCTGCTCTGGTTGGGGATGACACCGCGCTCTTGCTCTCGGAGATCTCTGCCCATTCGGGCGGCCAGCCAGAGGCCCCCTCGGCTGCCGTGCCCTTGGCCTGGCCCAGAGCCAGGGTACAACGTGTCCACCACGTGGAAGATGTCGCCGCGGGTGAAGCCCAGGCCGTAAGGTGGGCTTGGCTCCAGCTCGAAGTGTGTGCGGATGTAGAAGGAGTCACCGACGCGGGACTGGACCATCTTCCTGAAGACTGGGGACACAGGGGTCGCAGGTGACTCTGGAGGAGCCCATCCCTTCCAGCGACCCCTAGTGGACTGTGGCCCTGTGCCTGCGGGGCCACAGGAGAGCCCCGGCTGTGCTCAGCCCACTGGCCTGAGATCTTTACAGTCTCAGCGTATAGCCCAGGCTGGCCTCAAACTGACAGAGATCCTCCTGCCTCTGCCACCTGAGTGCTGGGGTCAAAGGTGTGCGCCACCACACCCGGCCAGTGGAGGCCAGAGGGTGACCTCCTCAAGGGCCTGTCCACCTCAGGTCTCTCTGAACGTGGACTCAATCCTCTGCCAGGCTGGCCTGGGAGCCCAGGTGCTCCCGCCTGCACATCCCTGCTCTGGCCCCGGGCACACGGCTTTGTGTCTGGCTTTTTACGTGGGGGACGGAGTTTGCGGGGACACCCACTGTCCTGCTTGCTCTGCGTCACCAGCTCCACGTCCTCCCCCGGCGGCAGCCCCAGGAGAAACTGCACGGCCTCCTCCCGGGTCAGGTTCCGAAATGGCATGCCGTTCACCTGCCAGGAAAGATCGTGGGTGGGGAGGCTGGGGACGGAGCCACTGCACGCCAAACCCTAGACGCTGCCTCTCCAAGTGTCTTGCTCTGAGACCGTCTCACCCCACTGCTGAGCATCACACAGACACCAATGTCCCAGGCAAAGAACCCCGGGAGCAGCCAGGCTCAGGACACACAGCCAAGTCCAAAAGCCTCGGGCAGTGTGGAGAGAGGTCAGACCCGACCGTGTAAAAACTCTCTGGGGTTCATGGGAGAGCTCGGTGGGAAAGCATGCAAGCAAGAGGACCCAAGTTCAAATCCTCGGAACCCATGGAAAAAGTGGGGGAGGGGAGAGCAGGGGTGCGGGGTGGGGGCATAGGCCTATGATCCGAACGTTCAAGAGGCTGAAGTGGGAGAGACAGCAGAGTTCCAGGTCAGCCTGGTCAACAAAAGGGACACGGGAAAAAGGACGAACATGGGGAGGATCCAGGACCACACCCCTGGGGCCAGCTGTCCCGCGTCACCTGCAGGATCTCATCCCCTTCCTGGATGCCCTGCCCGTCAGCCGGGCTGCCTGCCTGCACCCCGGACACAAAGATGCCCACGTCGTTGCCGCCAGCCAGCCGCAGGCCAATGCTCGCGCCCTTGGGGAAGCGCACCACACGTGTGTCTGGGCTGTAGCTACCAGAGAGAGGGGCAGTCAGGCCAGCGGTGGAGGGTGGACCCCCTACAGACCGTGGTTTTCCAAGCCGCCCAGCCGACCGCTGCTGACATTCCGCAACCAGGCCGAGGGCCCGAGGAACCCCATCTGAGGTACCCACCCACGGTCCTCCAGACTCTGCCGGCTGGGGACCCGGTAAAGGTCATAGCGGCTTTCTCCAGGAGACTCTGCAAAGAGAAATCGGGAAACCTGGGCCCTTTACTCCTTTAGGGGACCCGGAAACTGCACCCAGCAACAAGGCAGCCCTCCTGAAAGGGTCTAGGCAGAGGCCCCACCCCTGACCACGCCCCCAGCCACTCCTGGAGGATCCTAGGCGGGGCTCCACCCTGACCACGCCCCTGGCCCCTCACTGGAGGGTTCTAGGCGGGGCTCCACCCTGACCACGCCCCCAGCCCATCACTGGGAATTTTTTCTAGGTGGGGCTCCACCTGACCACGCCCCCAATTCTCACTCGGGAATTCTAGGCGGGGCTCAACCCTGACCACGCCCCCAGCCCTCACTGTGGAGATTCTAGGCGCGGCTCCACCCTGACCACGCCCCCAGCCCTCACTGGGGAATTCTAGGCGGGGCTCCGCCCTGACCACGCCCCCAGCCCTCACTGGAGGATTCTAGGCGGGGCTCCGCCCTGACCACGCCCTCACTTCCCTCCCGGCTCAGCGTCGCGGCTGCAGGCCAGGAGGCCCCGAACGCAGGCGCCCCGCCCCGTGGCCGGCGCCTCACCTGGCTCGGCTACTGCTCTCGAATCCGCCGACCGGTCCCGCCTCCGGGGCTGCGGGGTCTCCCTGGGTAGGACGACAGGGTCCAGTAAACCGGGGTGCCTCTGCAGGGTCCCCTCTGCCGAAGCGTGAGGCCTGGCCCCTCCGGGCCGCCTTCCCTCACTCACGCGGGCGAGTCCGTCTGGCTGTCCGCGGGGCTCGGCCGACCCTGCCGGGGCGGCGGGGGGATGTGGGATGGCGGCGCCTGGGACAGTTCCGAGTTCAGGTCGGAGATGTCTGTGGGGGAGGGGCAGCGGTGAGCCGCACCGGGGGACGGCGCGGCCGCGGCGGGGCAGCGGGGGCGCCCGCCGGCACCTTCCAGGAGCGAGCTGTCGCTGCCGCTCTCGGCGGGCGGGAGGCTCAGCAGGAACTGCCCGCGGTCCCTCAGCACCAGCAGCGTCAGCTCCCCGTCCGACCGCTCGATGAGCCTCCGGGTGTCGCTCAGGGACAGGTCGGCGCTGGGCACTCCGTTGATCTGGGAGGGGGGCGCGGGTAGGCGACAGGGCTGTCTGCGAGCCAGCACCGGACCGACCGGGACCGCGGCGCCGCCCTCCTGGGCCTCAGTTTCCCCACCTGCAAGATGAGGTCTCCCTCTTGCAGCCCGCGGCTCCGAGCGGCGAGGCCAGAGTCGGTGATGTGTTTTATGAAGATCTGACTGCCCAGCTTCACCCCAAACTCTGGAGGGGACCGGAGGGAAACCGAGGCAGGCTTTGAGGCAATCCTCCTGCCCGCCCCGTCCCCAGCCCTTGACTCCCGCCCGGGGGCGCAGGCCGGTCGGCCTCACCCTCGCTGTTCCTCCGTTTCACCAGCACGGACTTGAGCGGCCTCGTGAGCACGTCCTGCTTCGGCAAGCGCTTGTAGCCGGACACCAGGTCCAGGCCATTGGCCTCGGACCCGGCGCCCGAGCTCCGGCGCCCGTGGCTGCCCACGCGGCCGCGGCGCCCGGCCCTGGCGCGGCGAGAGCGCTCTCCCCACGAGCGGCCCGAGCCGCTGGACGAGTCCCCCTCGTAGCCCCGGCCGTGGTTCGCCTCCTCCTGGTCTGAGAGCCGGGGGCCGGCCTGGGTGGCGGGCAGCTGGACCCTGCGAGGACGCTTCACCGTCTGTCGGGAGAGATGCCCACCCACGGGGGAGGCGACCGAGTGAGCACAGTCGTGGGCCGCGTGCACAGTGCAGCGGCTAACCTAGGCCTGGCAATCTGCCGGGCCACCCGAGAGGTCAGTCATCCTGAGGATACACGGACCGAGGCAGGTGATCAAGAGTTAAATATCAGGGGCTGCTCTTGCAGAGGTCCTGAGTTCGATTCCCAGCACCCACACGGTGGGTCACGACTCTAACTGTAGTCCCGTGAGACCAGCTGCTGTGGCGGCAGACAAAACGCCCACACACATCAAATAAATACGTCTTTTTTTTTTCTTCTTGTTTTCCCAGACACAGTTTCTCTGTGTAGCCCAGGCTGGCCTCGAACTCACAGAAATCCACCTGCCTCTGCCTCCCCGGTGCTGGGATTAAAGGCGTGTACCACCACCACCCGGGAAAACAAATAAATCTTTAAAATATATATATATATAAATAAAAGATCAACCTGGATAATGATGGCCACACCCAGAATCCCACGGTGACCTGCTAGGGGCGTGGCCAGACTGAGGCCCCGCCTAGAATCCAGCGGCCAGCACCCTCACAAAACAAAACGTAGCAGGGCGACTTGGCTCACTGGGTTGGGCCTCAGTTTCCCCAGCCTGTGTCCACTCACAATGTTGGCCGTTTTGGTGCAGGTCTTCAGAATCTGGATGGCAAAGGCCGAGGTGACATTTTCCACGGAGACACCGTTCACCATGACGATGTGGTCTCCGGTGCTGAGGGGGTGGACGCAAGCGAGGAAGCTCAGGGCTGCGCCTCAGTCCAGTTCTAAGTAGACATTTTGCCTTTTCCCTCCTGCCCTCGGGTGTCTTCTCTCTTTGATCTTTGTGTGTCTCCCTCCCTCCATCACTGATCAGTCCCTCAGGGCCAGGAGCCATGTCCACCCAGATTCCAGGAGCCTCGCTCGCTCTGGAGGTCTCAGAAAACTGTCCCATTCTCGAGAACGGCCCAAGACTTTCCGGTTCCGCCTCGTGCCCTCGGGCCCTGGCCTGCCTCCGCGACCGGGAAGTCAGGCCCTGTTGACAGAGCTGAAGGTGCCAGGTGCCTCCCGGCCCCCACGCCGCCCCTCCTCCCGCCCGCCCTCCCTGAGCCTCACAGAAGCCTGCCCTCGGCCGGGCCTCCGGGTATCACGTCAGACACGACCACAGATCCGCCGGTCCGGTCGTGGCCTCCAGAGACGGCGATGCCGAAGCCGCGGCGGGGGTCCTGAGGGGCAGAGGTGACGGGCAGGGGCTGTCTCCGGCCCGGGGGCCCCGGGAGCCCCGAGCGCCGCTCACCTTGTAAAGTGTGGCTGTGTGCTGTTCCCAGATGGTCAGCTCCTCCATGTCTGCCACCTGGCGGGGACAGGGGCGGCTCGTGGGGGACCCCAACTGCCCCCCAAACTGCCCCTCCAGCCCCTTCCATCGCTCCAGGGCTTCCGCTCAGTCCAGGCTTTAGTATCTTCACGTCCCATGACTGGCCCCGCCCCACCCCCTCTCCGCTGAGCCCTGGCCCCTTCCCAGTGTCCCAGCTCCGCAGTTCGGGTGCCTGGGCTTCGGTTGGCTTCTTTTGTGTGTGGGGGGGAGGGTCAAGGGTTTTGCTCAGTGGCCTAGGTTAGCTGCAAACTCCCGGCAGCCCTCCTGCCTCAGTTTCCCCGCTGACAGAGTCATGTGGGGACCCCGACAATCCCCGCAAGGACTTTTTCCTCCAGCGGCCCTCGGCAGGCTCGGCCGCCCCCCGCTGTGGAATTTTTCTTTCTCGGCTTTCCCGGTACAGAAAGGGTGCCAGGGCTCCCAGGGGGAGGGGAGGCAGGTGCTCTGGCCTGTCCCGACCTGCCCGGCTTGTCCCCGCTGGTGTGGGCTGGTCTCCGGTGGATGGCGCGGGCTCCGTCTACCCTCCCCCTCCCCCCGTAAGGATTAACCTGCTCCCTGGCTCTCCACCCCGGCCCCGTCCACGCAGGTCTCGGCTGGTCTCCGCGGGCCCCGACCCTTTCTCCTAGCCGTGGAAGACCCGGCCTATCCATCCGTCGCTCAGCCGTCAGCTGTAGTCCTTAGCAAACTCCTATTCGGCCGCTAGAGCCCTAGGGCTACGGTGACTGCCTCTGCTTCCCACTCGGGAGTTGGGTGTCACCGTCTAATCTCGTTTCCTCCACGGGTCCCCCCCGAGGCTGGGCTGGGGGTTCTGGGGACCCTAGGACGCCGTGGAGGAGCGGGTTGAGAGGGTGCTGGCTGCAGGTCTCCCGGCCCCGCCCCTCCAGGAGGGCGCCCGGCCCGCCCCGGCCACCTGCAGCTGAAGGGGACCGGAGGGACCGGCCACCCGCCTGGGGCCCTGGCTCCCGGCCGCCCCTCCGCCGCGGGGGCGGGGCGGGGCCTGGAGCCGGTCATTCCTCCTCCTAAGCAGGGGAAAGCCCCGCAGGCGCAGAGCTTGGAGCCTCAGTTTACCCTCCTTGGGGTTTGGGCTGCTCGCCCGAAGGGCAGCGTGGTCGTCGTCACGGTCCCCAGAACTGGCGACAGTTATCCCGCCCTCCAGGCCCCTTAAACTCCTCGCACACACTAGGTGCTCTGTAAGTGCCGGCGGCGGCCAAGGAACAAACAGCCAAAACACGCCCGCCCAACCCCAAGATCGCGCAGGGCGGCCTCACGGTCTCCGTGGGATTCGAACTCAGGGAGGGGAGGCTGAGAAAGCGCCAAGAGGTGGCTCTTGGGACCAGCCCGCAGGCTGGCCACGTCTCCTCTCCGGGCCTCAGTTTCCCCGCCTGCTTGGCGGACGGGGCTGGGAAAGCCAGGCTCCCGCCCCTCCGCCCCCCGCGCGCTACTCGCCTGGAATCTCACCGCCATGGTGCGAAGGGGCCCCCGAGGTGAGCGGGGGCGTCCCGGGGCGGGGGGCCGCCCTCCCGCCTCACCCCGCTCGCGCGGCACCTGCTCTTCCTCCTCCGGGCCGCGGCCGCCCCGCCCCAGCGCCGCACGCCTCCGGGCAGGGCTGCGCGGCGGACACGCGCGATCCGGTCCTGGTTTTCCTCGCGGCGGGCCGAGCCCCTCGCCCCGGAGGCCGGGCGGGCTGGCGGGAAAACGCGGAGCGGAGTCCCGGCCCGCGGCCTTTCCTGTTCTGTTCCCCACCCGCGCACGGGCACCGGCGGGCGCCCCCCCCCCCCCAGGCCCGGAGGCGGGGAAGGACGGAGCAGTGGGGCTGGGAGGGTGGGTTAGACAGCCCGGCACGCCTGCACTGGGGAGGCAGAGGCAGGCGGATCTCTGAGTTCGAGGCCAGCCTGGGCTACAAAGGGAAACCCTGTCTGTAAAACCAAACAACAAACAGACAAAAAGAGTTTGCCAAGACACGGAGGCTTCCCCGCTGCATTGGAGCGGCTGCTAGGAAAGCGCGAGAACACGAGTTCGAATCCCGAGCCCCGCCACGGAGACCCGCGGCCCCCGGCGGCGCACAGCCGTCCGCGCAGAAACCACCCACGCCGAAAAAGCAGTCTTCCAGTCACGCACGCCTTCACTTCCTGCACCCTGGAAGGCAGAGGCAGGGGGATCTACGTGAGTTCGAGCCCAGCCTGGTTTGCACAGTCAGGTCTGAGCCACCTTGGTCTACAGCGAAGTCCCTGCCTTAAACAAATGTTTCCAAGACAATCTGGTCACATTCCTGGCCTTTCTCCGGTCGCCTAGACTCGGAGAAGCTTGGGATTTCTCTCTCCTCGGGCCTGGGGCTGAGGAAGGACCGGTCAGGGAAGCCCGGGCAAGGAGTGGAAGGAAGTCACGTGACGGCGGGGCTGGCTCCGCCCACACATTCCTCACTAGTAAGAGGAGCCTGATCCCGACCCAGCCCAAGGTCCCGACCCAGCCCAAGGTCAAAGGGCGAATGTGGGCGCTGACCCTCGTTCCCTCCGGGACCTCCCAGTCCTGGCTAGAGGAGGAAGGGAGGGTGTGAGAGGCCCAGAAGCGAGCAGGTGTCCTGTAAGGGCGCCCTGGGGAAGGAGGGCACACAGCTGGGGTCTTGACTCTTTGGGCCGAGCAGGGCACGGCGGCGCACGCCTGGCCTGTAATCCCGGCGCTGAGGCCGGCAGGAGCAGGAGGATCTGTGTGCGTTCCAGGACAGCCGGGGCTACACAGACAAACTGTCTCGGGGAAAAAAAGGAGGAAATCTTTGCGCAGGCAAGGTGCTGCCTTTAGCTCCAGCACTCAGGACGCAAGGACGATCTCTGAGTTCGAGGCCAGCCTGGTTTACGGAGCCCGTTCCAGGACAGCCAGGGCTACACTGTGAGCACGTGTCTCAAAAACAGCCAGGCGTGGGGTGCATATTTCTGTTCCCGGCACCTCGACGACCCTCCTGCCCCGAGATCTCATCCCAGTCACCAACAGACCTTGTTCTCGGACCCTCAGGGTTGGAGGTTCGATCTCGGTGTGGCCTCGGAGAAGTTACTCTCCCCCGTGTGTCCCGGTTTCGGCTCCAGCATTACGGGTAAGGAAACCGTAGGTTCTGCAAGGCAGAGTGCGCAGATGGACTGAAAGGGACACTAGTGGTTTGTCTGTCTGCAGGCCACCGCGTGGGTCTGTTCACGATGCAGCTGCGATCCCTTAGGGCGGGATCTGCCTCTGTTCTGACACAGGGGCGCACCTGTAGCCCAGGCCGTCCTGGAACTCACGATCCCCCTGCCTCAGCCTCCGCTGGGACCCATCCTCAGCCCCGTGAGACAGCTGAGGGAGCCCACCGACCCACGCGAGTTGTCCTCTGACCTCCGCACGCTCTCTCTTGTGCGCGTGCGCACACACAAATAAATAAGTATTTAAATATTAGGGTGAAAGGAACTCTTCCATCAGGCCACCCCCCCTCCCCCCGCGACGCAGGTCGGACCGGCGCTCGGACTGCAGTACCGCCGCCGGCCAGGAGGGGCAGTGTCTGCAGGCCAGGAAGGGGGTGTAAGAAGGGAAAGCGGAACGCGTCCCCAAGTCCTCGTGGAGGACTCTGCTAGCCTGTCATCTGGGGGAACTGAGGCACGTGCAGAGGACAGGCCTGTGGCTGCGGGGTGGGGTTGGAGCCGGTGGGGGGGGGGTGGCAGGACAGGTCTGACTGGAACTCAAGAACAGTGATGATGTCCACTGCGCTGGGTCTGCAGGGCGGGAGGGGCAGGCGCTGCCCTCAGGAGGAGGGTGGGAACGGAGGCTGTGTCAGGAGGGGCCTGGGAGGCAGGGATCCGGGTAGGCCGCAGGAAGGTGAGGGATGCAGAGGGCTGGGTGGGTGCGGCGTACTGTGCAAAGGCCCTGGCACACACGTGGCCTCCCAGCGCTCCTGTGGGGAGGGCAGGGGCAGAAGCATGGCTGTCAGCTCTCGAGGAGCCTGGACTGCACACTGAGGTCCAGGCGGGCCGAGCTGCAGAGCGACACCCATCACGACAATGCACACAGTAGGACAACGCACACAGTAGGACAAAGAAAAATTTGGGGGGGAGAAGGGGGGAGCCCGGAAGTCGCCTGGGCTGCAACAGTTCCCTCACCTACCCAGAAGCAAGTGAGAATCCAGGAGGGATCCCAGCCCCGTCACTCTTTGCCTCAGTTTCCATTTCTGGAAAACAGGGCTCCTAATCTTGACTCAGAAAGGCTAGCCTGGGCCCCTGGGTCCCTTGTCTGAGGCACTTGGGACCCAGGAGTGTCGTCGGGTGTCCCTGGACTACCAGAGGGTCCCTATCCCCTCCCCCCCCAAAAAAAACAGCCCTCAAACTGCATTGGGGTCTCCCTCCCAGCGTCTCCCAGAACTCCCTGTGTAGACCAGGCTGGCGCAGAGCTCACTTATGTAGATGGGGGTGGTGGGGGTGTCACTCAGTTTGCAGCTGTCTATACCACCACACCTCTGTAACGTCCCGTGTCAAAAACTTTTGGTGTCCTCCAGGGACCATTTGTGCATTTATGGAGTTCCCGTTGTTTGCCAAATCTTACTCTGAATAGTGGGCTGACTCGGGGGTGCAGCAGGACAAAAAGGCTTGGAGGAAGGGGGACTCCATGAACTTGCTAGCTCAGGAATGGTCCCTAGCTCCGGAGCACTCTTTCAATAACTTAACTTTTGGGCAGGCTTTCAGGCGTGCCCCTAATGTCCTGCCAACTTCCCCGCCTTGCCACCGGCCTCCGCCCCACCCTGGCTCTGACCTCCATCTCAGCACAGCCCTCCACCCGATCCCTCACAGTCACAGGGAGCCTGCCCCGGCTGTGCGCAGCCCTCTCTCCCTCCGCACTCTCCAGCCTTAGTCTTCTGTCTAGGTCTGTGGCCATCCAGACATCAGTTTGGGCGACTAGTCATGTCCCTCAACCATTTGCCCAGATGTCTCCCCCTCAGAGCTCCCCTCTTCCTAAAGTGCAGCAAGCCTCGTGTGGAGGCCTGTCACCCCAGAGCTCAGGGGTGGAGGAGGGTCAGGAGTTTGAGGTTTTCCCTTGGCGAGGCATGGACAGACACCAGCCTGGACTATATGAGCTCCTGTCTCCAATAACTGAAGAGATGAGATTACGCATTTCTGAGCCTTGTTCCCAATGCACCTGGCATACAGTAACTGTTCGATAAACACAGGTCGTTGCTTAGACGGCCCATGCCCAAAGCTGCGTGTCCCACTGACCTCGGCCATGCCAAAGGGTGTTGGGCTCTACCCTGAGCAAACACTGCCTCCCTGGCACCTGGCCAGGCCCAGGAGGAAGGACTGAGCCTAAATTCTTAGCGTGGACTTTCCCCAGACTCAGGGCCATAAGGAAGTGCCCGGCCGGATTGGCAGGGATTTTTGTAGATGTCAAGCCTGGGGCAGTCTGTTAGGGAGTCGGCTCTAAGGGGCCCCTCTGTGACAATCTTACTCTCCTGTGCATCCCTGGGGAAGTAGCTGGCCCTCTCTGGGCCTCCATTCATTTTGTGGCAAACACAGGAAACTGCTTTGGAAATTGGAACCTGCCGTGCCTAGGCTTTCTCTGTGGTGCAGAATGAGAAACTGAGGCAGGGCCAGCAGTGTGGACAGCTGGAACTCCCAATGCCAGGTCCACCTGTGTCTAGAGATTTCCTGGTCCAGAATAAAGTCACCTCAGGGGAGGCTTGACACACCCTACTGAGGAATTGTCTTTCTTTGTTTTGGGGCAAATGAGATGCAAGCAATTCATGTGCCCCTCCAGCTCCTCTCTCCGTCCCTGGTCCTCTCCTCCCCCCTCAGGCATCTGTCCATCCATTCTGTCATGTCCTGGCCTAGGAGCCGACAGAGTCCCCACAATGTATAACCCAGCACAGGCGGCACAGTCATGCCTTGGAAATTTGGGGTGACCCTAGGCAGAGTTCCAGAAAAACTCAGAGTTAGTCCAGGGGAAGCCCAGCTTCCAGGGGAGGCCATCTCCTGTCAGGGGGTGTGGACCTCCATCGGGCACTAGGGTCCCCTTGGCCCTCCTGCGGGGGGGGGGGGGAGGGGCCAGCGTGCCGTCCTCGCCTCTCCAGCCACCACCTGCGCTCACAATGACCCTTTGAAGGCTCGGCTGCAGCGTCCTGGGCGCAGTGCCAGGGCAGAAACTGCAGCCGCACGAAGTCTCGGAAAGTGTGTCAGATGCCCACGCAGGATGCCAGCTTCCGGCCTCCGTGGGGGCACGCACAGCGAACTCGAGGGTCCCGGGAGCCTGCGGTGGGGCCACCCGGATGCATAATGCCCTCGGGGGGCAGCTCAGCGGGAGACTTACCCGTCGGGAGGGCTGAGTGGACGCGCGGTGGGCGGTGGCGGCCGCGGCCGGGATGGCTGTCTGGCATGGGCGGCTCAGGCCGGAGGACCTGTCGGCTCAGCGCGGCCGCCCTGGAGGAGGAGAGGGGCCGGGCGAGCGCGTCCCTCCTCCGGGTGGGACCCGCAGGACTGCGTGCGCTGGTGAGCGCACGGGAGGCCGGCCTGCAGGTGGGAGGGCGTGTGGCTCTGTCGCAAGGTGCTCTCACGTGGCAGGACAGGCCTTAACCCCTGAGCGCCCAGGGGCCTGCCTAGGCCTGCGCCCCACGGGTGACACGTAGTAGGTGCTCAGAAAACACCGAGCGCACTGCGGGATGAACGGACCGGGCCTCTTGCTGCGACCCACCTGCTGTCGTGCTTCCGGCGTTCATTTAGGGGCTGAGGCGGAGCAGATCAGGACTCACCGCTGAACCACGCCCCGGCCCCTCACTGTAACATTCTAGGCGGGGCTCCGGCCTGGCCATGCCCCAGCCCCGCCCTGCGGGATTCTAGGCGGGGCTCCACCCTGACCACGCCCCCAGCCCCTCACTGGGGGATTCTGGGCGGGGCTCCACCCTGACCACGCCCCCGCCCTTCAGTGTAACATTCTAGACGGGGCTCCACCCTGACCACGCCCCCAGTATTTACTGAGAAATTCTAGGCGGGGCTCCACCCTGACCACGCCCCCAGCATTTACTGAGAAATGCTGGGCGGGGCTCCACCCTGACCACGCCCCCAGCCCTCACTGGGATATTCTGGGGGGGCTCCACCCTGACCACACCCCCAGCCCCCTCACTGGGGGATTCTAGGCGGGGCTCCGCCCTGACCACGCCCCCAGCTCTAACTGGGATATTCTAGGCGGGGCTCCGCCCTGACCACGCCCCCAGCCCTCACTGGGCTATTCTAGGCGGGGCTCCACCCTGACCACGCTCCCAGCCCCTCACTGGGCCTCTCTAGGCGGGGCTCCACCCTGACCACGCCCCCAGCCCTCACTGGGCCTCTCTAGCGGGGCTCCACCTCTTAGCCACACCCGAGATCATTACTTACCTCGGCTTTGACTTCCCTGTCTGTACTCCTGGCCTTTAGCTTCAGGTTGTTTTTTTAACTTTGCTTCCTTTTTTTAACTTTGGCGCTCTAGTGACCTAATTTTTCCCTGCGATGCCCGAACAATTCCCAGGTGTGACCAGGTGTCCACATCTCTGGAGGGTTTAGTGACCCCACCGTAGTCTCTGCGGCGAGAACGCTTCAGGTTCAGTCCTGGCATTAGTCAGGCCGACTCGGTTCGGCCCAGGCCACGCACCAGACGGACAGGACCGAGAGGAAGCCGAGGCAGGAGGCTCGAGGCTTTCCTCAGCGGCATATGGAGTTAGTGAACAGCCTGGGCTATGTCTACGTTAGTAGAAGCGTATTTTCCTCATTTTTATCACTTTGCAGCGTAACAAACTATCAAGAAAAATAGGTATATTTATCATGTCGCAGAGACTATCTATGTAGTTTCTTTGTTTCGAGATAGGGTTTCTCTGTGTCACCTTGGCTGGCCTGGAACTCAGACGTCTGCCTGCGTCTGTGTACCGCCACTGCCCGGCTGAAATTTTTTCTTTTAAGATAGGGTCCCACTATGTGGCCCTGGCTAGCCCGGAACTTGCTATGTAGACCAGGCTGGCTCTGTCGATGGCCTACAGAGATTTGCTGCTTTGGCAGAGACCCTCCTGGACCAGCGCTTCATGCGTAGGCCCCGCCCCCGAAGTCCGGTTGGCTGTACTGGCCTCAGGCCCCGCCCTATCCCCGCCCCCTCAGAAGCCCCTCCCCTATCTGGTTCGCGTGGCTCTGTTCATCCCTGTGTGGACGCTCGGGGGCGCTGGTGGGTCGTGCGTCACCGTAGCCCCGCCCCTAATCTCTGATTGGTCAGGTTTCTCCTCTGGCCGAAGCCCCGCCCTCGCCCCTGTACTGCACGTGAACGCGAGTCCTTCCGGCTCCGGACGCCCGAGGGCGCTCGCAACTCCCCTGAGTAGGCGCTGCCCTCAGTCCCGTCCTTATTTCCGTTTGGTTAAGGGGTTCGCGTCGACGCCAGGCCCCGTCCAAGCCCCGC